TTACGACTCTTGAGTCATGCATGATCTCATTCCTCCCTTTTTTAAATTCTTCTTTTTCTCCAATTTCATCATTGAGTGCGGAAAGGTTAATTGATTCACACCACAAACTACTTACCATGATGATCCTTCAACTAAATCTATAATTTTATTTTATTTTATTTTTGTCTAAAAGGTACTTTTTATTTAATAAAGAATTCATTCAACGTGTTTGTTGATTTATGCAGAAAAAGTTATGTAACAGCAAAACACTCTCAGTATTATATTAGATACAACATCAATGACATGTTGGGATTTGAAGGATTGTTGGATTCGTTTTCCATCACAAATAATTTCATCCAATTATCACTGCTCAATTACTTTCTAAGCCCTCAAACATGTCTCTAAAATGGTTATCCATCGACACAAGAGTATAATTTCAAGCTTTCAATACTTAACCTAATTAAAAAGTTGCTGGTCTTTTTTCAAGTGGGTTCAGATCTGAGATTCGAGTGAGGTAAGCCGCCATTATAATTAGACTTCGTTTGGTTTTAAAAACACATTTCATTATTATTGACATAAAAATTATAAAATATATCAATATATTTTTTTACGCTTAAAGAGTTAGAGCTTTTAGAGTTATCTGATTTACTTTTTATTTTATTTTGGTTTTTTAAAATAATTTAAAAATATGTTTTTTAAATGAAGTTGTAAAAAATTATATAATAGTTTTAATTTATAAATTATTTTAAATAACAAATAACATTGATGATGATGCATTACAATTATTAATAAATTCATGAATATTATTAATTAAAAAACACTTTTTATAAAATATATTTTTCAATTTTCAACACAATCTTCCATTCCGTTGGTATTTTTTTTCTACCTCAAATCGCTTTTGAATTAAATTTATTAGTTTTTTTTCTTTTTTATGTATACATGGACTCAAAAGGATTATGATTAAAATATATTTAATTCTTTTAATTTTATTAAAAAAATGTATTAAAGTCTCCTTAAAAAATTCTATGTGCAATTTTTTCTAGTCTCTTTCTATATAGATAAATATATAAAAAATTATTAAATAAAATAAATAGTTATTCTCTAAGTATTATTAGAATAAATGCATCCCTTCTTTATTTTATTTTTCTTTATATATAATTTGGATATGTTAAGAAAATTTACATTAGTTTTAGGAGAAAATGGAATTCTAAAATAAATATTATATACTATTATTAAATGTTATCATGTTAAAGTTGAAAGACTATTGTAATGATATTAAAGTTAAAAGATTTGTAATAATGTTAAAGTTGAAAGACTTGATATTAATGCTGTTAATTTGAATATAATTATTTAAAGAAAATTATTTAAAATTAATTAAACAAATATTTATTTTTTATTATTTGTAATTTTAAAATTAATAGTTTACTTGATTTTCATGTTTTTCTCCTTAAAGAAAATATGTTACTTTATTTCATATATTTACTTTTTTTCTCATATATATTTTTTTTAATTATCGAACAGATACCTCTAATATCTGAATTCTTAATAAAGAAAGTAATGACATTTACCGTTCGACCACATTCATTATTTTCATGCTTAGGATATAGTTTTTTCATCAAATTAATTTTTTTTAATCTATTTATTTAATTATTAGATATAGTATTAAAAAACTAACAAATGATTCCACGGGATTTATTATTAATATTTATATTTTGTATGCATCAAAATCAGTTATATTTACTTTTTCATGTTTTTTTTTATCAATGTTTTTGCTTAGAGTTGTATACAATGTTATGATTTATTTTAATTTAAAATAATAAGACAAAATTGGAATCTGGAGTTAAAATAATAATAAAAAAAGTATAGTGTGAATATATTTAATAGAGTGTGAATAGTATCTCATCCTTGAAGAATTAATAACTAATTTCAGGGACTGAACATATTAAGGGATACAATAATGATGCATAGAGTGTTGATGATTATATTAATAGTGGGTTACTCTTAATTAATTAGTCCAATTATACACTCTTATATGAGACCTTAATCTTAATTAAATCGGTTTCAGTTGGTAACCTGGCATATTATATTAATTATCAGGTTAGCCATTATTAAGCAGTTTACGCTAACGTGTCCAACATGTTCTCAGAAGCAAAATTCTAGCAATTATTTGATCAGATTTAGATACAAGTTAAGAAAATTACTTACTATTTATTTTCTTAATTATTATTATTTTGTTAATCTACTAACTATTTTTCTCTTTTTTATTTTTATAATTTCCATTTACTCATAATTAGCATATTTAAAAATAAAAAATGAAGAAAATTTAAATAAAATAATATAATAATAACAAAGGAATTTAAATAAAATATCATAATAAAAACTTTCATGAATATTAATTGTTCACTTTATGCATGTATGCAGGCGCTAATGCACGTGATATTATTTGGGTAACTAACTGTACAAGGGGAGCTATGTGTATTGCACTCTATATTCAAATAAAACTAAAAAAAATGATTTCTGCTATGTATACAGTACAACATAGAATATTCTATTCATTAAAAAAATAAAATATTGTATTAACGTAATTCACATGTATCCTGCAAGTATGGCCTTGAATAAATGTGTGGTTTTTATTTTTTATTTTCTAGTTTAATTAATAGTATTTAGTTATCATGCTTTTTAATATCATATAAAGTTAAAATTTAATAATTTTTATAATTATCTTGGAGTAAGAATTGTTAATTTATTGTGAATGAAAAATATTTTTTATCTAATCTACTAGGCTTGGTTAAAAATAATATGATAAAAGTCTGGTCTGAATATCATATGATATTATTTAAATAATTGATATTAATGATTAAAAAGATGTAATTAATTTATAATATTATAACTTAATGATAAAATAGTTTCTGATAGTGTTTTAGACGTTTAAAGATGAAAATGAAGCATTAATGACACTCAACATGGTGGGTCAAGTATATACGATACATGTTGACACTCAACATCGTTGCTGGAGATCTTTCTGAAGTGGACCAGCTGCATTTGAGGACCCACCTCAAGATTTTATGCCATTTACATTCAGACAAGTAGGACCCTTTTATACCATCAAATTCCCACAAAAACATTAGAAATATCCAACTTAATAGAAAAATAGTACAATGTCTAATCAATTCTTTAAAACAAAAGGGGGAGCGGAGAGAATTAAAAGAAACCTTTTACATCATTTCATAAAACAAGTTGTGAACTAGGGGGAATTAAATAGGGTTACATGATTTTGCTACTCCTCAACCGTTAAGCAATCTATGTCATCCATCCTCTGTCAAGACCATACCTTCAATCATTTTCATTTTTAAGCATTAATAAATAAAAAAGGGGAAGAGGACATTGTATCAATCACAACTAAATTGGAAATTTTGAGAGTTTGTGTGTAATTGAGTTCTCCCTAATATCACATTAAATGGTATTTTGTCTTTTATCAGTTAGATCTATTTTATAAAGAAAAAACCATGTATAATAAATAATACAGTATCATCAAATCATAAATTGTTTATCATTGAACTCGGTAAAAATAAATACTATATATGGTTCAACCATACACTACCTTTGAAAATTTTACTCAAACAGTGTCTAAGAAAATATCAAAGCCATCTAAATGCAGCGTACTATTGTAGCTGCTAGATCAACTTTACAGAATATGACCTTGTAGATGTTGATAGTTCCTGACTCATAAATAAAGTCTTTGTACATAAGTAAACCTTTTTGCCAGATATTTGGGATGGACTTGTCCACTTACGCTTGATTTCATTTATACTCTAATAGTGGCACCAATTTCAAATTAAGACAATTGAAAAGCCCAAATGCTCGCCATTATTCACAGTAACCTACCTATATTGTGGTAATTACTGCTATTTGGTCAAGAACGTGGCTCAATGGGAAGATGGGGAGGGCTCAATGAGTGAAACTCTTCAACCAGATGAAGCACTGTATCAGAAACTTTTGTTAAGAGTCTTTTGACCTAGCTAGGTTAGCATCTGTTAATTTTGTCGCCAAAAATAAAACCAAGGCCTTGTACCGTGTACAATAGTGGTTGGATGCATTTTCTAGAACCATCCAATGGGCAAGGGGAATCACTAATGACGTATACCTTAAGATTTAAGGCATAGCATCTTAGTTAGGATGAGATTATCCATTTGGTTGCAGAGGAAAAAAGATCTATAAAAAGATCTTGGTCCGTCCGTATAAGAACAGAGGGAGGAGAAAATTAAAGAATGTGTGCTTCCTCTTGTGAGCATCAACATCAGAGAGATTGAGAATTTAGCATAGATATTGGAAAGATTTCAAGTTGGACAAAGGGGCTCATAAGTTTAGTACTTAGCATTTAATGATGGGTGGAAGATTTACTTGAGATGCATAGTTGGTGAGAGAGATTCTTTGAAACCTAAAACTCATCATCAAATCTAGGAAAAATCTCCTAAAAAAGTGCCATAAGTATGCCTCGTGCTTCTTCTGTTTACCCCAATAAGGATAATGAAAAAGAAAAACCAAAAGTTCAGTTCAATTCAAGAGAGAAGACGTGGGGAGAGGAAGCATCCAGTAAGATTCATATCATGCAAGGCCCTTGGACACATCATACATGCCGTTGACAATGCAATAAGTGGTCTATAGACAGATATAATTCCAATTATTCTAATCTATCTCCAACTACTAGTACAGCTTTTTTGAACAACCAACTTCACGAAAAACTATAGGAACCCAAACTTAATATATTATTTTCTTCAACTAGTTCTAAGAACTGGCCTGCCTATTTAAGAACATATTCTGAGATGCTGATATGCATGCCAGCACTGTCTACTCCTTTCTGCCCATTCTTCCCTCCTTCCCCACTTTAAAGCCTTTCATTACTTCTTTTTAATTCTGTCTGTCAACACCCTTTTCACCACTCCACTCTTATAATCTTATATATTATCATCCCCTCCCTCCTCAATAAAGAGTTCAATTCCTTTTTATTTATCAAAATTAAAATGTGGCCTCTATGTCTTGGAGCATTGGTTTTTGTAGGCATCACACATTGGGTTTATAGATGGAGAAATCCTAGTTGCAATGGAAAACTCCCGCCAGGTTCAATGGGTTTTCCATTTCTGGGTGAGACCCTTCAGTTTTTCTCCCCCAACACCTCTTCTGATATTCCTCCTTTCATCAAACAGAGAATGAAAAGGTATATTAGTATTTTAGTCTCAACTTATTTGGGATCATTCTTCCAAAGAAGTAAGGTTTATATGTGATCATCCTTTTACGAGGCTTTCAGGTATGGACCAATCTTCAAGACCAACTTGGTTGGACGGCCAGTTGTAGTATCAACAGACCCTGAACTTAATTACTTCATCTTCCAACAAGAGGGGCAAGTGTTCCAAAGCTGGTACCCAGACACATTCACAGAGATCTTTGGGCGACAAAATGTTGGTTCCTTACATGGCTTCATGTACAAGTACCTTAAGAACCTGGTGCTCAATCTTTTTGGTCCTGAAAGCCTTAAAAAGATGCTCCCAGAAGTTGAACAAGCAGCGTGCACAACATTAGAGAAGTGGTCATGTGAGGACAGCGTTGAGTTGAAGGAAGCAACAGCAAGGGTAAAATGATTACAAATTAACTATTTTCTTGTTTTCTTCATCTCTCTCCTTCCATTCCATTCCTAAACCAAGTGCTCCCATGCAGATGATATTTGATTTGACCGCAAAAAAACTCATCAGTTATGATTCAACCAAGGCCTCGGAGAATTTAAGGGAAAACTTTGTTGCATTTATACAAGGACTCATCTCCTTCCCTCTGGACGTTCCAGGAACAGCTTATCACAAATGTCTGCAGGTAAGTTCTTATCATCCATCAAACTTCTGGTAACTTTTAAAATCCGTGGCTTATATTATATAGTTATATGTAATATAAGCTGTTGTCAATCGCTTTAATGGTGCAATTGCATAACTGATTCTTGAGTTAAGAAGCCCATAAGCGCTGTAGATGCTAAGAGAACGTAATTAGTATTCTACGTTAATAATTAGACAAACAAAAATAAAAGATGTCATCACAGAAGTTGACATACAAAGTAGTTTCTTTTGATGTGGCAATGCCAAAGATTGAAAACATAATTTATTTGTGATCTTTCTCAGGGTAGGAAAAGGGCAATGAAGATGCTGAAGAACATGCTGCAGGAAAGACGGGGAATGCAAAGGAAAGAGCAAAATGATTTCTTTGACTATGTTATTGAAGAACTTAAGAAGGAGGGAACAGTCCTCACTGAAGCGATCGCTCTGGACCTCATGTTTGTGCTCCTCTTTGCAAGCTTTGAAACCACTTCTCTCGCTCTCACTTATGCCATCAAATTACTCTCGAACCATCCCTTAGTGCTCAAGCAATTACAAGTATGTTCAAAAGAATATTAAAATCTTTGAACTACTTTCAAGGCTTTTTCAATTTTACGTTCCTCGTTTTGACTCGATACTAAAAAGACCCTCCTCCGTGTTGTGCCTTTTAGGAGGAACATGAAGCCATCCTCAAACGACGTGAAGATCCTAACTCTGGAATCACGTGGAAGGAATACAAATCAATGACATTTACATTTCAGGTGGACCAATTTTTTACTTGTTTTCAATCGGTGACAATTTTAATGTTATTTTCAACGTACGTGTACATATCTCATTTAAAAATCCATGACGATTGGCAGTTCATAAATGAAACCGTGAGACTCGCAAATATTGTTCCAGGAATCTTCCGGAAGACACTGAGGGATATTAATTTTAAGGGTACGTATGTCATAGATGCTTATTTGCACAAGTATCATTCATTCGTTCGTTCACATTTCACATTACGAAAAGAAAGTTTTTGAACGGATTAGTCTGATATACAACAGAAGCAATTATTGGAGTAAGTTAGAAATAAAATTGAATTTATTAGTTGGGATGGGATGGGTCGAATTTAAATAATAGTAGAATGTATAGAACACGTCCAATGCACACATAGCTATATCTTGCATATGAAGTAAGGGAAAATTGTTGACAACATTACCTCATTTTTGGTCAAACAATGAATTCATTCATACATACATGCAGGATATACAATACCAGCAGGTTGGGCAGTTATGGTGTGTCCCCCAGCTGTGCATTTGAATCCAGCGAAATATCAGGATCCTCTTGCCTTCAACCCATGGAGATGGGAGGTGCGTCTAAGGCATGTTTTATTTTTTGCAAATAATAATTATAAAGTGTAATTTTTATTTTGTCCTATAATTCAATGATCATCAGTGAAATGAAAAAATGGGTTCTTATAATTAGAGATTCATATTTTATTATTTCCTTTCAGAATGATTTGTTTGTATACTCTTAAAGCTGCTTTAGCTGCTAGCTACCAGCTGGCCAGAACAATATTCAAGTAACTTATATTTTAGTCTTCCATCTCTTTTTTACGCATTAGTGACCCCGAAAAATTGGGCTTTTCAGGGAGTGGAACTAAATGGTGCCAGCAAACATTTCATGGCTTTCGGTGGAGGCATGAGATTTTGTGTTGGAACAGACTTCACTAAAGTTCAGATGGCTATATTTCTTCATAGTTTGGTAACGAAATGCCGGTAAGATTATGAAATGACAGCGTGTCGTCCTTTGAACTTAGAATGAGATGCAAAGTTTGTGTTTTAACAAATGAATAATATTTCAGATGGCGACCCGTCAAAGGAGGAAATATCGTTCGAACTCCTGGTTTACAATTTCCAAATGGCTTTCACGTCCAGATCATGGAGAAAGATCAAAGCAAACAGGATCCAGAGTTTATCAATACAAATTAGAAACCAAAACTCCGGAAGAGAGACTAGTATATGGTAGAAATTTAGGCTTGAGTTTTCCTCAGTCATTGCCATTTTCAAGAAAACACAAGGCAACGCAATTGTCGTGGAAGCCAAAAAAGTAACCATAATAACGGTCGCTCACTCAGTTTTGATTAGGTCTCTTAAAAAATGTGTTGTTATTAGATTTTCTTCTCAACATACATGAGTGGAGTTTGTTAAAATCATGGGTAAAAAAAAAAAAACATGACGTGCCCTACCTTGCAAAAAAGGCAGTGAGGGAAGGGAAGGAAAGTTGTACTTGTAACAAGTGTTGTAAATGTTTAAGATTATATCCCTTGTTAATATACAATCTACTTTTGATAGTTACAATTTTTACTGCTAGCAAGTTGCGTTCGTAATGGTAACGGTAGAAGAAAAGGATAAAGCGTAACTATGATTCTATGAATTAGGCAAGAACAAGTTGTTTTTAAACGTTAGTGTCTAAAATTAAAAAATGTGTACATTAAATTAGAAGTTTGGGCTTCAATCTACTCGTCCTCTGGCTCATATAGCTGAACTTGTTTGTGTTTGCCATGATTTTCTTGCCTCACTTTATCATGCTTTAACTTCGTCTCTTTAAGTTGTCCCTTCGAACTATCCCATTTCTTTCTGTGTATGTGGTGTGCAGGATGGTCAGCAATATGCTGCAGATTATCCATATTCTTTTTCTTATGTCCATGCTTGTGCATTTCTTTGTGAACATGTTCTAAATCATCAAAATAATCAGAGTGACTTCCGGAATGCTTGTGCATTTCTTTATGAACAAGGTGTAAATCGTCAAAATAATTAGAGCTCCTTTCCGAATACTTGTTTTTATGCTCATAAGTGGTCCTTCGCCTATATTGAGCACTGTAGTTAGGGTGCCTAAACTCTTGCTTATGATGCTTGTTATCACGAATACGGTGATGTCCGTTGTCACTTGTGATTTTACGTTTATCCATGACGATCTGTTCATCAGCTGCTGAGAGATCGTCCCACCAATCGTAAAGAGGATCAAATAGACCTTTCTGGTGCAAAAGCCATAATAGTACAAGCACTGCAATTCAAGCGAGTATTTATTTTATGTTGTTCTTCTGAATTTACAAATTATAGTAACTAATAGAATATCGAATAGAAGTCATACCTGTCGGAAAAATTGTCAAACAAAGACCAAACAGCATTACCCAACTCAAGCATACATATTGTATGTGGCACTTGAAGTCAAAAAACCCAGAGCATTTTTGTCTTTTCTTCCACCCAAACCGAGAGGCGAGGATGAGGTTTAATCAAATAATTAGTCAAGACAAATGAACCAAATATTAAATAAAGGTCTATGGTTAAGAAACCAAAGTGTAGTTATCGATCTTCCAACAACCTGCTTCAATGTCTTAGTCATAGTTTATAACAAAATATTTAAATCACTAAACTAAGAACAGAAACATGGCAAAACTCATTATCAGTTTAATACATATAAAAAAAAAATCATGAAATAAATTGGAAAGATTTTATCCAAATGCAACAAGAGAACAATCTCGAATACGTGCACCAACTTTTGTTTCATTTTGTTACTGACTAGACTGCTGAAAACAGTTTTTTTCATAAAATAATCCTAGTTATAATCCTTTATGCTATTAATGACGAAATATTCAAAGGATTGTCTGTATGAAAAATATAATGCATTACGGGTTCACGACAATCAGTGCTACTAATCTAGTGGGTGGTGTTGATGAAGAAATATATATATATATATATATATATAAAACGATCAGAGCAACTCTAAATATTCACCATAAATAAAATTCCGGGAAACCTCATATTTTGTATATTTAGTATGTTTAAACTGTAAGTTTGCAAACGTAAAGGATAATAGAAATAATACCTACAAGTTTTTCCAGTGATAAATTCTGTTAAGCTGGTCCAAAGTTTATTCCATATGCTTTCAATAGAATCAAAGAAACCATTTAGACTAGTCTCTGGTGGTTGAAAAGGCATACCCTGCAGTAATAGATGATTTAGATAATCACAATTTGCCCTCATAACATCCCAATAACTAGCACATTTTGTGAAGTAATCAGAAGGCTAACTTTAAGAAGTTAATATGTCTACCGCCAACAATTTACAATGTCAAATTCATGCCTCGGACTCGAACTGAAGTGCTAGTTCATTACCTATAGCTTATTAATAACCATTTTATGTAGGTTAGAAACACAACTGTAAAGGTATTTTTGTAGTAACAGTGCTAGATAAAACTTCAGTGAGGTCTTCATTGTTGTTCAACAGCTCAAAATAATTCTAGTTGTTTAAGTTCAATCATGAGACCAATGGCCAAAACTAGGCAAATTTAAAATAAGAGCAACACACAATTAATTACTAGTTACGCAACACATTCACTCTATGGTAGTTGGGATAGGTTTTCAAGCCAAGTTCAAATAAGAACAACAGACAATTAATTGTCTGTTAAGCAACACATTTCACTATGTGGTAATTGTAATAGTTAGGCTTTCAAGTTCAAATTCACGATCGCTTTAGCACTGATAGCATTTTTAGAATTTTCATGTCAGTAGACAACACTTCAATTACAGTCACCAATAAAATCAATTAAAATTGACAAATAACATCAATTAAGTCAGAAAGGTAACATGGTCAATCAGGAACTTTCATGCTCTATAAGGTTTTGAGGAGAGAAATAAGAAAAAAAAAATTAAGAAATAAAATTGAACGGATCAGCTAGATTGGATTAAACAGAGTCTTTTCCTAGCTAGATGGAATCAGCTATATGGATTAAACAAAGTCATTGTGTTCATAACCATAGAAAATAAAGCGTGCTAAATTCAGGTGGCAGGAAGGAACAAACCTGTGTGCCATTGTCAAGAACAGTTGCCGTAGTAGCAAATTGACATTCGGCTCTATCAACTTCATTATAATCAGAGTCCTTTAATATGGCTTTATTCAAAACCCCCAAAAATTGAAACAGAATAAATATCAATGAGTTCTTTATCTTCAGAGAACAAATAACACGTATCCATCCTATGCTTCAACTTTACCCGCACAAAAGTATTTTGAAGCTTGATCATTGCTGGGGTAGAGTTTGAATGATCGGGTTGTAATCTCATTTGGCTTCATTATTAAAAATTGCTCCTGAATCATGTTTAAAAAGAAAAAACATAACAGAGGAGTATAGAACAGGAAGGGGCAAAATACTGACACATGTTTAGCATAATATACCTCCATCAGGGTGATATCCTTGGAGCAATTAAACTGCAAAACAACACAATCAATATAGCAAAACTAAAACTACAGCAAGTTGAACCCTCCAGAAAATTACTACAGTGCAAGACTCAAATATATTTGAACCAAATTTGTAACCCTAAGCATCTGGAGCAGCATGCACCTGTTAAATTCCTATTCATGTCATGTCATGCAGTCAAACAATAATTTTGCCCCTGACTCTTATGGGTAAGCAAGGAAGACTTAATGTGCAGTGTGAGACCTTTAGGTACCATGATAATTAACAATTGTGTCCTCATACAATGATGTAGTTATAAACAATGAAAGATTTTGTAAAATATTTATCACAACCCAACCCAGTTCCTATCAGATATTATAAGCAAAGAAATAGAACAGAATTTCAAAGAACACTTTCTATCCTTAAAAAACTGTACCACGAGTATAGAATTAAAATAATGCATATGTCATTGAATACAAAAATATCAAATCCACGTTCTATTGTCCAAGCATAAGGAGCACCGGATAACAAAAATAGATATGTCTGAAGCACATTGTAGAGAAGCAGACTACCGTCAAACTATATGATGCTTCCACCTCACCCGTGTTCTTAGTTGTGATTATAGCAACACCAAATTGGGTTAGGGCTTCAAATGTAGGGACGCTAACACTTATAATCTTTCCTGGGCTCCTGGAGGAAAACAACCATGTCGAACAACTTTTGAAAGGCTTTTTACCATAAAACAATATTTCTGCTTGACATTCGAGGTATTTAACAACTAAAGGTCATTCCCTAATGTCAATAAAAACAAAATTGGCGGACTATAGAAACTTTTCCACCATCATTTTCAAATATTTTATATACATTCTCATAGTACGGCTTTATATATAGATCTGGTAAATAATAATAATACCTTTGATAAACATACTCTACATCATTCGCACTTAATTCTATCACAAGGTTTGTATTAAGAACTTCTGTAATTCCTATGGAGAACGAATAACTCCCAGCCCTCTGCAGACAAATAAAAAAAAAATCATTTCTAATTGAAGACAGCATATTAAATATAAATACAAAATTATTGCAACATAACTGGATGTTGGTTTATCCTTTCAAACCTTCCTTCCAAACCATAGAGTGGCACCTGATTCCTACTTATTCGATTCAGGTCAGCCTGTTATGAACGAGAAATTTTTTTCAAATTTCCAACAATTATGAGAAAACTATTTATAAAGTTTCAATTAAAAATTGGATGACAAACAATGTGATTTGAAATTATTAGAAATGAACTGAAAATAACTCCGTTCAAGAAGCTAACTCAAGCGAACCGGAAAGGCCAAACCTTATAAAGAGTGTGTCGGCCATATTCCTATAGCCAATATAGGACATCATAACTCACCTTAAGCCTATGACTGAACATGTAGGGTGTACATAATAAACATTAATCAGAGAAAATGAGAGCCTAAGCTCCTCAGCTTAATATTCTGTCAAAATAAAAAATAAAAAATAAAAATGACTGGCGACCTGCGTCTGTTCCCCTCTCCCCATATCTAATGGCACTAGATAAAAGATTCAAAATAGAAAGATTTTATTAGAAAGTAATGCAACTCTATTGTGATTTTCAATGCATTCCTAATGTGAATTCAAAGAAAAACTTTCCATTCAAAATTCCTAAACCAGTGCGTGTACTGGTTAGCAGGATCCATAACTAAATTGCCTCCTCTCTCAACCTAGGCAGCTCATAACCCATACCAGTTCTCCCTTCATATCTCTCTATTCATATGTTGGGCTTCCCATCATTTGAAACCAAAAAATATTCAATTAAAGAAAGACAGGAATAAGAGTTAAAGGGAGAAAAATATATTTTTACAGTACCAACCTCCCGAAAATTCCACAATTGATTATGCAAGCAGGACCAAAAGGGTGAAGAGCAAAAGTTTGGTTGTCGATTGAAAGCTTCATAGCTTACACCAATTTTGTTACATTCAATAGAATCTAAGGTAAATCTCACTCTCTCAAGCAGCATCCACATAGAAATGTTTCTCCCCAAATCATGTGGTTGACCAGGGCTGCCCTGTCAAAAGAAAAAGTTGTAAATTTTTCTTAAGCTTGTAGAAGTTGTGAATCATGCCAAAATTTTGTGAAGTAGATCAACACTGTTATCTTTCTTAAACTACACCAGTAATGACAAGATAAATGTAGACTGTTAAGATCCCAAAACTATAGAAAGTATGGCCCTACGGACTTGCAATTGCCAATATATCAGCCTCCTTAGAAGGAGTACTGCTAGAGAGTCAAGAAAAAAAAAAAAAAAAGTGTTCCAAACCTCACAATGTTAACATTATTAGCTAGAACACATCATGATATCTCCAAGCTAGTCAACATACAAACAAGAGATTGAAGAGGAAAAATCATGTTGACATAATGTAGAATGAAAAGGAGGTTCCTTAGATTAAATATCAGCCCTTAATACTAATCATGCTTGCACTATTGATTGGAATATGCACTAAATGATATTTTTTGCCACACATACACAGTGCTTGAGGAAGCCTTCGAATTTTAAAAAATACAGTGATGCTCAAATTTCAAGTCTATCCTTAATTTGGTGACCTCTCAAAATAGATCTAGAATTGTATGATTAACAGACATGGTAATAATACAATCGACCAATGCTTTACACTCTTTTTCTTTTCTTGTATTTGTGAAGATAGCTAGTGCCATTTATTTTTCAAAGTAAAATTTTATTATTACCAATTACTAAAATTATGTTCAACAATTTCTTTTAAAAAGAGAAATATCAGGAAAATATCTAAAGGAGAGTTGTAAGTACAAAAAATTATTCAAGAAACCAATCCAACATATTTTTATTTTAGCTTAATTTAACCTCAACTTTGTTAAGGCTAAAGTCAATATAGGTCAATAATGGTGAGACCAGTAAAACAAGCATACCTGCCTTGGTACAACTAGATAGAAATCCTCAAAAGATGGTATATTTGTATACCCAACAAAATCTCCTATAAGATTAACCCTCAAAAATTTATCATCAGAGATCACTGTTCTGTTTTCAGGAGCCACAACCACCTCCTGCCGGCCAAATTATGAATTGACAAAATTATGAGTTAGATTCAGATAAACTGGAAGAGAAATGCAAGTTCATTTTGTGTGCATGCATCTGTTAAGCATTTTACACTCATTTCACATTGCAAGCACATTATGATATGAAACATAAAGGATAACTAAAGACATGAGTCTCTGCCCTAAAAAAAGCAAGCGATTGTTTTACTCGATTTGCCAACTAACAGGTTGTCAAACAAACATTAAAAAATATAAGAAAATGAAAATAAAATGTAACATCATCTTTTTTCACGAAATTTGGGCCAAAAAACACTACTTAGTGTACCAGATGAATGAAGAAACAAGAATAATAACCACACGCTCGGATAATTCAAACAAATAATAATTTAGTGAAGTTGTGAACTTTAACAATGACCTTATAGTGAGGATTAAAAAAAGGAACGCTTAGAAAATCAAAAGAAAATTATAAAATCATCGCTTTATTATTGATAAATATAGAATTTAATCCCTGGAAATAACTTACACTTCCAATTTCATCCCTGAATTTATTCATGTATTCAAATTAATCCTTATAACTTTTTAACCTATAACAGAATAATTCTTCATTAAGTGCCTTTATATATTTTAAATGCCTCATTGGAACATTAAAAAAGTCAGTTAAGTGTCAGTCATGTAATACCAAAAACTTGATGCAACATTTGAAGATCAAAACTTGGAAAGTATAAAAATTGTTAGCTAACATTTGGTGATTCTGTTAGTTCATAAGGATGTTATGTGATGCTTCCTCCCTTCTCTACAGTTGAGGGATAGGATTAAGGATTTCTAAGCTAGAAATTTGTTAAAAAAAATAGGAATTGACATGTCGCATAGCTTTGTTAAGAAATACAGTAGACACTTACATTACCATGTCACGGATGGGTGTTAGTTTTGGTGAAGGAGATTTAACAAAATGATCATGCCATGGTATTAAAAATTTGAAGGATTACTTTGAGTACACAAATAAATGGGGGACTAAACCATTCATGTAAACATTCTCAAGCACTAAAATGCTCTTCTTATTTAATTTCTTACAACAAAATGCTATTCAAGTTTAGAAAATGAATGGAGAAAAGAGAAAAAAAAAAAAAAAAAGGCTGTGGCTATTGCGTGTAAAAGGAAAAGAAATACATTAAAAACTAGTATGTTGATCCACCAAAAGGTTATCCTGAGCAATAGAGAAATTCATTATCATAAGATAAAATACATTGTCGATGAAAATGAATGCATACCATGTTTAAATTTAATTACATAAGAAAACCAAAAATTACTTACCGAAATTTTAGTTCCACTCTTCACCTGTATTCGAACGCTAAAGCTCAAGGTTCTCTGGCCAATACCAAAAACATGAAACCTGAAATGATTGATTAAGAAGGAAATTTGAGTTGTAACAGATGGAATAATTTGATTAACTCACTTTTTCAAAACAATATAGAAATAACATTAAAAAGAAAAATCTGAAATATTTTTATATGCAACATAATTTTCATATGCTGTCTTGACTCCAACACAAAATCAATTAAAACAATAAAAAACTATAATAATCCACCCAAATCCATCACAATTGGAAACAAAATAGACAACGAGGATAGAGACTTACCAATCACCAGGGAAACGCAGACAATGTGCAGTATTGACCTTTCCTTTGGTTAATTTGTCAACTAAATAAACAATTTAACCCAAAATTATTAGTTTTGTGTTTAGTATAAATTTACATATTTTTGCAACGCAAAAGCACTTACAGAAGTTTCCACATGATGAAGGCATTCGCCGCTGAGGCCCACATGGACAACATATTGGCTACATTATAGACGGAAAAGAGATATGTTAATCCTGAATAAGAAGCGAAAAATGAAATGGGAGAGGATGGATGGATCAAACAATAAATTCTTATTTTTTTCTCTTCTTTTTGAATAATTTCATTTAAAATTATCATCATTACCCTAATTAAGTACAAATCTTGTAATTGTAAGTCGACTAAGATTGACTTCAAAGTATATTAGAGGGGGTGGAATATTAGAAAACATCATAGTTGAAATGAAAAGAAAAAAGGTATAATTTTGTTTCTAAAAGAAACAGTTTTACCAGTGAAATTGAAAAATCTCTACAAACCTAGTATTTTTTGGCAGCTTAAGGCAACGACACATGAATCTAACACCTCATTCAACTACTCAAATTTCCTATTACTAGGCCAACCTCAGTGCGTCATGAAAACATAATTTTGATGTATGTATGTATATAAGGTCATCATGTCACATGGAAGGCAGGGAAGACAGCCAAGACAGCTCCATATATGACTGGCCAAATGCTTATAAAAAATTATCATAAAGTGGAGTAAGTGCGTCAAGCATGACAATCAATGACTATAGTATTAATTAGGTGCATGATGGGCACCTGAGTGTTCTCAATAATATGACCCTCTTCGTCACGCAGTCTGCAACACAAGTACCAGAAACCAAGCAGTGAAATTGACATTGTCTAAAACTCTAGTCAGTCTCTAGTTCATAATAAATAGCAATAAAACATGGCTTTCCTTTCGCATATCTTCACGACATTTGCACCAGCATCTGGCTCACATTTGCGTGTCTTAACATAGTACTCTTCAGGTTTATAAGGAACATCCTGCTAACAAGAAAATCCCACTTAATCATACAAAAGATCAAACTACATCCAAAACAATCCTCTCAAAGCCATTTGCTATATGAATAAAAATTATTAATAGTTATCTAAAACCATAATATAATGATAATAGGTTAGTTCTCAATAATAATAAGAGTTATGTTATTCATATTTTAACTCATACAAAAGCATTTTCTTTGTCTATCTTTCTCCATTACATCACTTAAATATATCATTCAATCAAATAACATTTCTGACACTAATTATCGAATGTATAATCCAACAACTACAGAAGAGTATCATACTCGTATATATGTTAACTCATACAACGCATATGCAGAAGTTTTGTTGACAGTTATCACAGGTGGAATCCGCAATGTCTGCATTTTCCTGGTTGAATTTTCCTCCACTTCCACCAATTCCGCTACAATGGACGCCTCTCCTCCACTCTGCGGAATCACAAAAGAACATTAAGAAACGGAAACGCGTCAAAACTGCGTAGCGACCTTCGTAATTTACCGAGCCACTCGGAACAGCCATGTTCAGTACGATTTTGGTAGTGCAATTGAGATTGTCGGAGTTGGAGTTCCTCTCGCACTTCTCGAGCTTGGATTTGGAGATAATTTGAATTGCAGAGACACGAAGCGCGAGGAAGCAAGAAAGTATGAAGAGGATTGGGGTGATACTGATAGGGGAACGCAATGCCATTTTTTGGCGGTTACGGATTTCAACAATGGACTACTTTTCTATTTGGCGATGGATGCATGCCAAAAAGAGAATGAAGACGGTTTCGCGGTTTTTCTTTTTCAGATAACGGACTGAGCGGAATGCAGTTCAAATGGGGTTAACCGCTACCAACCTTCAAAAGGTTTGGATGCAGAGCAAAATTCTTTGATTGCTGGAGAAAAATAACGTACTTCACTTTTATTATGATACATGTCTCTGCCCTTTTTTTTTTTCTTTTTTTTTTTACTTCTTCTTCTTCCATAATCATATTTTTCCATATCAATTATCTATGCTCTAATTTGTTTTGGTCACTTCCAAATTTGTGATTTCTTTTCTGAGTTTTTTTTTTATTGCATGATTGCACTGTTATAATTTATATTAATATCTACTTTACATTTATCTATAATAAATAATATATTTATTTATTATAGGTAGATACAAATTGTATGAAGGCATGATGAAAATTGAAACAGTCCCGATATTTTGACACCCATTTTAAACATCCGTTCGACAATCTAATAAAAAAATATTAAATGCACAGTGTTATCGAATAAAAAAATATTAAATGCGTAGCGTCGCTCGAGCGATGTAAATTTCACTTGAGCAACGACACTTTAGATAGCGGTTAATAACAACCATTGTTAAAAATACATATAATATAGCGGTTAGGAGTGAACCGCTCACTAAAGTATGTTTTATTAGCGATTCAGAAGTAACCGCTATTTAATGTCATACTTTTAAAGAGCGGTTAGGAGTGAACCGCTATCTAAAGTCATATTTTTTTTAATCCTTCATCTCCTTTCTTCAACCTCGTGCTCTTTCTGTCTGCGTTTTTTGGCCGCTCTCTGCGCTCTCATTCTCGCTCTCTGCGCTGTCATTCTCGCTCTCTGCGCTCTCATTCTCGCTGTCTGCGTCTTCTATTAAGCTAAAGGTACGTTCTTTGTATTTTCAATCTTTCTGATTCTCTTGCTCACATTGAAGCATATTACATTGTAATATATTTGTGTGTCGCCAAGTTCGCGTTCCAGTCTCCATTCGCCATTGTTGTTGTAGGACGCACTTATTGGGAGTTAGTGCATTATATATTTTTAGGGTTTAGGGTTTAGAGTTTGTCTACATTGTGATCTGAAATTGTGTTTTCTTACTGCATGTTATTGACCCTTAGTAATGAAAATGAGTATATGCTTTGACATAACTTTTATGATATTCATTGTTAGATGATACTCAGATTGTTGTCATGAAATACTTGTATGAATGTGTTCGTCCTGTAGTAAACGTCATGACGAGTAAATAAATTTTATACTATGAACTCAAATTAAATAGGGTTACATGTATTTGCAGTTTGAAATGGAAAGCATAGACGATGGATCTTCAAATGTTAAGAAGGTGAATGTTGTATCCATTTATATAATATAGGATATTGTTGATGATAATTATAATTATTTAATGTGATTTTCAGGTATATTTGCGACATGTTTGCAGGACTAATTATTTGGGTGAAGTGAATAACATTCTTACTACAGAGCAAAGAAGTCGTATTGAGGCAACACCATTTAGTTGGTTGATGTCATTGGGTAGAAAGGTCAAAATTAGTAGAACATTGCTTAGTGAATTAATAAGTAGATGGGTTGAAAAGAGAGGAGGATTTAATATAAGGTCTGAGATAGTATGCTTTACACTATTAGATGTGTGTTTAGGTTTAGGACTTCGTGTAGTAGGCGAAAATGTCAACATTGTAGAAGGAAACATTGATTGTCATACTAGGAGACTATTTAATGGGAAACATGTTACTTTGGAAATGATTTTTAATGAACTTGTTAAACGTCAAAATGATAAGGATGTCGATGACTTTTGTAGGTTGTACATACTTTTAGGTTTGTTAGAGTTTTTATTCCCTAATGAAGTAGGTATCGCACATTGTGGATTTTTTAAGTTAATAGATAATATATCTTGTCTTGGAAAGTATAATTGGGAAAAAACAGTGTATGAATATCTGGTTGGAAGTTTATGTGAAACATCGATTTATTTGAAGAAACGAAGAAATTGTTCACACTTCCGTGTTCTAGGATGTGTGTTTTTGTTACAGGTAAATCTTAAATTACGATATATGTTTTGTTAGAATACTTTCAATATAGTCAGCTGATTTGATATTGTGCATTTTGTTTATATGAATTCAGGTATGGGTTATGGAGCATGTACTTTATAATACCAAATCATGTAATGAGATAAGTCGATTTCCGAGATTTTTACAATGGACCTCTGTTGTAATTGGGGAAAGCAAGATTGTAGTTGCGTTTAATCATAATAGGGTTAGTTCATGAAAAATTTAGTAGAACTTGTTTGCAATATTACTTTACCATATGTCAAAATGTGATTTCAATTTGACATTGTTTGTTACTCATAGGTTATTCATGACTTGTGCGTCAGAAATGAAGAGCTTGCTCATGATATAGTGAAAGAAGCATTAGGACATACCACTTATGCATCTGAAGAAGTGAAAAATTTTACTAATATGTTGTGTGGAATTAGTGCTGAGAATCAAATGTTGATTGCCGTAACCAAACAACAGGAATCAACAATTGAAAAACTAGAGGAAGATGTAACACAATTACACGAATTGTTAGATGAAGCAAAACTATCAACAGAAGAAGTAAATCCTCCATCATGTGGGATGTACTTTTCTCCAGTATTTGAAGGTAGTAGTATTAAAGAGATGAAGCATCATGTTGAAGCAACAGAAGAATCAAAGTTGCATTTTGAAGGGTCAAATATGTATACGCGACTTAAAGGTCATCCAAGAATAAGGTATAAAAGTTTTATGGTCAAAACACCGTTGACGACTAATTCAAGGAAAAGAAAAAAGGCGACATAAGTGTTGTGTAGATGAATTATTTTGTTAGGTTTTGTTGTAATTGTAATTTATATTTGATGCAGACCTTTATGATGTAATTTTTGTGGCCTGTGATAATGTTATATTGTACATTACTTTTTATCTCATAGTGATAGCATTGTATCTTCCTCCGATGTGTTGTTCGACTAATCATGTATGTTTATGTGCATTTAATGATATATAGTCTAGTGGTTAAGCATATAATGTGGGCTATACAAATTTAGCACATAATTAACACAAAAATGTCATGTTCAGTTAAGCACATTTTGTTAGATTAATTTGAAATATACCCTGAAATTGTGGTGTATCAGGTACAAATTATGAGAAAATAAAATTGGAATTTCCAAATTTAAATATTTTTTTTTAAATTGGGACTTTAGATAGCGGTTCCAGAACCGCTATCTAAACATACTAAAGAGAGCGGTTCTAGACCCAACCGCTATTAAAAGTATATTTTAGATAGCGGTTAACTTGGAACCGCTATTACATGTTCAATTTTAGATAGCGGTTCAACTTTAACCGCTCTTAAAAGTGACAAATATCGCTCGAGCGAGACTATAGTCGCTCAAGCGAAACACAACCCGAGAATCCCCATTCTATCAGGTAGCTTCACTCGAGCGATGATAAAGTCGCTTGAGCGATATTAGAAAAATGAGATAATATGATCGATTATTATAGGTTATAGTCGATTATTCACAGACCTTAGACAACGGTTGACGTTTAACCGCTATCTAATATATATTTTTAAAAGCGGTTCTTATTAACCGCTATGTAAGGTCGCTTCGGGTTCAGTCGCGCTCAAGCGACTCTGTAATCGCTTGAGTGACAGTTGAATCTTATATGTGGTGAACCAAGATTTATTAGATGGCTAACTGCGTAGGACGTTTCGTCTGTGGTTCACCAGTCGCTCAAGCGAGGATGACATCGCTTCAGCGCTGGAACCTTAACCAAAGGGGACCCTCGCCTTCACAGTTTGGGGCTATCACCTCTTTCGTGGTCACAGCTTGGGTACTTGAAGAAGTCGCTTCTGAGTTTTTCTTCTGAGTGGGTACTTGAACCATCAAATTAAAATTCAAAACCGAAATCTCCAACCATAATAAACCCTACAACAAATGAACAGAACCCAAAATTAAACATAGAACGAACGTTTCTTTTGCGTGCGCCGGCGAGAGAGATGCAGAGCGAAATTATCTAGAACTATAATGCCTTAGCACAAACTATGATCGATGTCTCCACGTATAATCGATCATTCTCAAATATTATCGGTTATTGAAAATTATGATCGATTATTATGCAATTATAGTCGATCACTTTGACATATAAACATACGTTAGACAGCGGTTAACAGCAAACCGCTGTCTAATATATATTTTTAAAAGCGGTTCTTAGTAACCGCTATCTAAGGTCTGTGGTATGTGGTTCAATAGTCGCTCAAGCGAGGATGACACCCCTTGAGCGATGGAACCTTAACCAATAGGGACCATCGGGTTCTATCTCGCTCAAGCAACGTTTTGAACGCTTGAGCGAAAATTGATTCTAATATGTGATGAACCAACTTAAATTATTTGGCTAACTGTGTTTGATGTTTCGTCATTGGGTATAAACTCGCTCAAGCGATAAAGTTATCGCTCGAGCGACGCAGCCTTCAAACAAGGGAGACTCTCGGGTTCTATCTCGCTCAAGCGACGTTTTGAACGCTTGAGCGAAAAGTGATTCTAATATGTGGTGAACCAACTTAAATTATTTGGCTAACTGCGTTTGACGTTTCGTCATTAGGTATAAACTCGCTCAAGCGATAAAGTTATCGCTTGAGCGACGCAGCCTTCAAACAAGGTAGACTCTCGGGTTCTGTCTCGCTCAAGCGATGTTATGACCGCTCGAGCGAAAAGTGTTTCTAATATGTGATGATCCAAGTTATATTGTTTGGCTAACTGCGTTTAACATTTCGTTTTGGGTGAATACTCGCTCAAGCGACAGGATCATCGCTTGAGCGAATCTTATATAAGGTGAACCAAGTTATATTATATGGCTAGCTGTGTTGGGCGTTTCGTTAGTGGACCAACACTTGCTCAAGCGACGAAACTATCGCTTAAGCGACAGAACCTTCAAATTTCAATCTGTTTTTTGTTAAGCGCATTCTTTACAACTATTAAACATGAAGTTATCTGTTATGTACAAAGATGATACGTAAACCTATACATCTTTCCTACAATAAATCTTGTCACTTGTACAATTTCCATATGCTAGTTTATATTGTTCTCTTCCCTTGTTCTTTTAATCTGAATTTCTTCTTTTATATTACATATCAACATCTTGCCATCAGAAATTCAAATGGAAATTAATGACCATTTTGTGGGTGGTGGCCATGCTCCATATATCATCCAAGCATGTGGTATGAGGATAGTTCTACCCTTATCAACCAATCCAACATGCCCTTTAACAGTTAATACTATAGAGGAGCATCCTCATTTCATATGTTCGTAACATATAAATGTGGTAGTAATTACATGTATTTTGTACATAATATTTATAATGTCATAATATTTAACATTTAAATGATCCATAACCAACTTAACAGTTATATTACATATGAATAAACTGTACAACATTCATCAATGAAGATGAACAAATAATCAAATGCAATATCTAAATTTCTATTCCTACATGAGGATGTTAACTCCTGATTCAATAACCATGACTTGTCGATGAAGATTTTGAGGATGAAGTACCCATCTGCATACATATTCTTCTCAAAATTTCTAAACTTGCTCCTGTACAATATGAAGAATGTCATAATAAATTATATTCATAGTAATAAAAAACAAAACAATAATACAATGACTTTAATGTTTACCGATGTGTAATGAGGCATGCTTTTCCCATTCACTTTGCTCACACCATCCCACAACTCCATATATTTTAAAACAAACAATCCACAATCATACCTGCACAATTGAATGTAGTTATTACACACGTTATATACAACATTTTGCAAACAAAATTTCAACTATAATAACATACTAACATGTTTGGTTGAATTGGCAAGTCCTCCTTTGTAACCTTAAGTTCTTCAGTGGTCCTCGATGACTTTGTTTCCAACAGCGACAATAGATGTTCAAAACATTGCAACTGTTCACAATATTACATTATTCACCAAATAAACATAGCTCTGAATTAACTATATTACCTACGTAAACAACTTAAAACAAATATTTACCATAGCTCTATCAATTGGTTTTCGTGATCTATTATCATGGCCCAACGAATCTAATATAAACAGTTCTCTATCCTTACATTTCAACACATAACACCACCAATGACCATTGTGTACAGTGGGAGCAAAAATCTGAAATAGAAAAAACTCTGGTTAATTGAATTTTATCTTGACAAAAATATAAATTTTAGGCAAAGTATAAATATTCACAAATTCACAACTTAATAACTGCTGCAATGGAATAATTGTATTTGGATAGAAAAGTGAGAAGTCTTTCATTGTCCACGTCGATGTGTTCCCTTTGCGAATATACATTTGTTCAATCACTTGTGTCTATCAAAAGGCACAAAAATAAATGACAATCAATGATAATAAACCTATGTGCAACTTAACTTTTTAAATGCACAATAAACATACCGCAAACAAAGGATTGAAACGTGGGTGTAAATCTTGTGCATATTATACAAAATGTTTGTCATGCAAATACAATTCTTCATTGTAGCATTTCATCAAACACTTGTTGGACATTAATACAGCATCACAACTCAATTAACCCTAAACCCTACATAATACTTTCATTACAAACCCAATCAAAGATAAACAGAAAACAAAGCAAGAATGCGCAAATACAATTCTTCATTATAGCATTTCATCAAACACTTGTTCGACATTAATATTGCATCACCACTCAATAAACCCTAAACCGTGAAAAACACCTTCATTACAAACCCAATCAAAGATAAACAGAAAAGAAAACAACAATGGAAACCCAATCAAAAATACACACAAAATCAAGCAAATGTTGTTAAACGAACACTCACCACCGCAGGATCGCTCAAGCAACAGACAGTGATGTTCAGCTCCAACGACACGGACGAAGTCAAGCGACAGGAAGTCGAGCGCCGTGAAGAGTGAGACGGAGAAATTTTACCCTAAGTCCAGCGAGAAGAAGTCGAGCGCGAATGTGAAAAGCGAAAAACACTGTAACTTCTTCAAAACATATATTTCACTTTTTACCATAACATCCCCATTTTTACAATATTACATCACTACCCCTTTACAATTTTACTAATCAAACTCTTATTTTTAATTAATTTCTTTTTAGCCCCGGTTGTCTAACGGTTGTTTGTTTTCGGTTGTCAAAGTATCGTTTTCGAAATTGAAATTCTACCTGTCGCACTGGATGCAGTATTTGATTTCCCATGAAAACCAATTAAGTAATTATTTTTTTTTACTTATAAAAACCCATATACTCGAGCTTCTTCTTTATTTATTGATTAAATTATTCTATATTGAATAAATAATTATTTCAATTAATTTTTTTAATTGAGCAGAGTAGTAATAACCGTATTAATAATAAGATGATAGTGAAAATAATAATGAAAGTTATAATAATTTTTATAAGTTAGGTTATAGAAGGTTATAAATTATGGAAAATTTTCTTATATAATACATTAGTAAAAATATTTTCCTATGTCTTTTTCAGATAACCTAATCTTATCGCATTACATTTTAACTGATTTTATTCTAGTATTCTAGTATATATTACCATGACTACCAAATAAACACTAATGTTTTATTAGACCGGTTGATGGAAATTGAGGGAACTAAAAAAAAAAAGAAAAAGAAGAGAAAGTAAAAAATGAGATTGATTTAATTAAAAATGAAGATAAATTAAAAGTAAAATAAATTTGTTTATTATGTATAATTTTATACATTTCTAATATTTTAATATTATTTTTAATATCTTTTTAAATCATGTAGTATTATAATAAAAGAATATTATCATTAAAAAATAAGATAATATCCTTATTTCACATAGTCAATTATTTTATCTAAACTATGCTATTTGATTCATTAAATTATATATATATAACTTAATTCGTATCTTTTATAAGGATTTATTTTTAGAAGATAGTGTGTTTTCTTGCGCATTTAATTAAAAGCAGATCAATTAATCATTTAATATACAAAGAATGTGATTTTTTTTCATATTTAAATGTAATATTTAGGAATATTTTTAGTTTAATAAAAAAAATAAAAGGATTAAATATAATTTTTGTTTTTATATTAAATTTAATCTTTAATCATATTTTTATTATTATAAAATAATTAAATTTATTTATTTATTTTTAAGTTTCAGAAACAATTAATCAAATTTTAAACAGATAAATTAAATTCAAGTTTGAGAAAAATTACACAAAATAATATATATATATATATATATATATATATATATATATATATATATATATATATATATATATATATATATATAATGCAATCTTGTGTTTTGTTTTACTAAACGATCACATTATTTTTAAATATGTTGAACAGGAAATATGGAGAGAAAAAAACGTTACTCTTATAGTGTTATGTACAACTATTGGAATTAGAAAATAAATTAAAACTAAAGTCTTACAATTTTATAATTAAAAATAAATAAAAAAATGTTGTTTGTAGTACATTTTATTACCGGTTCGATTTTTCTCTCCCTCATTACTTATAAACTTTGAAGGCTTAATATTTATAAATTTGGATTACAGGGTTGTTTAGGCAGTAAAGTATGAGTAGGGGTGGGAAATGAATCAATCCGGCTCACACGCTGGTTTATTGCGGCGCTCAATTTATTTATGATGAGTCAGAAATTTTATAAACTGACTTAATCTATTATGGGTTTATGAATTAGATAAGTTAACTCCCATATTGATGTGAATGTAATGTAGGGTTGAAACGCAAAAAATATTTTGATGCAACTTAACGACACAATCAACTCAATAAATATAAGGAAGAAGTATAATATAAAGAATAATTGATAAATTTGGCTTAATGATATAAAATAAAAATAGAAAGAAAACATAACATCAATTAGAATTATTAAATTATTATAATTATTTTTTAAATTTAAAATAAATAATAAATTGTGAGTTAAATCATTATAACCCAACTCAAACCTTTTAATCCATAAATTAAGTAAGTGAAATTTATTTTTAACTCTTTATCGATAAAAATATAAAAAATTAGCCAAACTTTAACTCGAATAACCCAAGTATACATACACCTTTAACTATAAGGTTTCTTTGTTAGTGTTGATCCTCTTAACCTGTGCTGCCAATAATTTTGGATTTTTACTTTTCTAGTTTGGTTCTTGTAAGTTGTTTTATTAAATTTAAATAGAAGGAATAAATAAATAAAGATGAAAAAACAAATCCAATTGGAAATAGAAAGTTATTTAAGCTATTACGATTATAATAAAATATAAAAAGTTGACATGAAATCAAGCAATAATGGAATCAATGCACTATGGTCCCTCTTCTGTAAAACTCGACGAATATTACCAAAGAATCCCAGTTTATGTACCTAGTACTCATGAATTATCTAAAAGACTCTTACGTGGCGAATTCTTATTTGGTAGAAGAGGTTTTCAATGATATGTTGGAAGATATCTGATCTGTGTTGGTAAGGGAAGTAATACAAACAATGAAAAAGAGAAGAGTGGTAAGAAAAGAAGGAAGTAGTAGTGGCCACAAATCATACTCCAACTCCAAACCAATAGAAATTGAAATGCAGATCTTATACGATATTTAGATAAGAGCCCTTCTCTCAATTAACCTACGTATTGTATATATATATATATAGTGCTCCTCTATCTTGTTACCACCACTACACGAGGCATTCTTAACCATTCTCTTCACTTTCTCCTACAAAGCTTTTCATTCTTCTACAATGGCTGCTTCAACAATGGCTCTCTCTTCCTCATCATTGGCTGGCCAAGCCATCAAGCTTTCCCCCTCCACCCCTGACATTTCCACTGGAAGGATTTCCATGAGGAAAACAGCCTCCAAGTCTGTTTCCTCCGGAAGCCCATGGTACGGCCCAGACCGTGTCAAGTACTTGGGCCCATTCTCCGGTGAGGCCCCATCTTACCTCACTGGTGAATTCCCAGGTGACTATGGCTGGGACACTGCCGGCCTTTCTGCTGACCCCGAGACTTTTGCTAGAAACCGTGAACTTGAAGTCATCCACTCCAGATGGGCTATGTTGGGAGCCTTGGGCTGTGTTTTCCCCGAACTCTTGGCCCGTAATGGTGTCAAGTTCGGCGAGGCTGTGTGGTTTAAGGCTGGGTCTCAGATATTCAGTGAGGGTGGGCTTGACTACTTGGGCAACCCAAGCCTGATCCATGCACAGAGCATCCTTGCCATCTGGGCTACCCAAGTTATCTTGATGGGTGCAGTGGAGGGTTACCGTATTGCCGGTGGGCCTCTTGGCGAGGTGACTGACCCAATCTACCCAGGTGGAAGCTTCGACCCATTGGGCCTTGCTGATGACCCAGAGGCTTTTGCTGAGTTGAAGGTGAAAGAGCTGAAGAACGGTAGGTTGGCCATGTTCTCCATGTTTGGTTTCTTCGTTCAAGCAATTGTGACCGGAAAGGGACCCCTGGAAAACCTCGCCGACCACCTTGCTGATCCAGTGAACAACAATGCTTGGGCCTATGCCACAAACTTTGTCCCCGGAAAGTGAGAAAACTACCAGTTGAGTGTGTGAATTTGAAGTTGTTATCTTATGAAATATATATTTGATGTGTACCTTTGCAGAGAGGGTGGATTATGTCTTTTTTGTACGTTTATTAAGATGAGAGTATTACATAAAAAAAAAATTATCATGCTGAAAACATGTAATATATATTTTATACTGCTTATAAAAAAAAAAAATACTGGATAACATTTATTTGTAGATCCATGTGATTTTCAACACATGGACAGAAACAAATAACATGAGCCCACGAATAAGGGGAAAGCAACACAACGACAACTTAATAGGTGTGAATACAAATAATAAAAGGGTTCTTGGCTGTTTTGCTGAGGAAAGCACACGTAGGGGACACTTCCCCAGATGAAGGGGAAAATAATAGGATACCCAAAATGGTTCCAAGACCACCATGCCATTTAATTAAACGTTATCTTCATAATATAAAACCTACACCTTCTACAGTTTTATTTGTTATCAATTTCCAGCCTAAAATCAATTTTTTTTTCTTAATTTTATGTTATTAATTGTTAAATAATTTACTGGACAAAGTTTTAATGTGCAGCAAGTTAGTAGTATTAACTTTGAAAATTTAGATTTTCATATATATATATATATATATATATATATATATATATTAAATAAATAATATTCTTAAATTAAAAACATATTTTTGTTCTCACTACACTTATTAATACTAATAACAGTAACAATATAATATAATATAATAAAACTATACACTTATTAAGCAAATAAAATTTAGTAATAAAATATACTAATGATTTTTATCATTTGAGTATATATATTAATATTATCTAAGTAAAATTATCAAAGTTTTACTATATTTAAAGAAATTCAAAACTTACAATTTTTTTTAATTAAGGACTATCTAGTATCGTTTCTTGAATCGTAAATATATATATATATATATATATATATATATATATATATATATATATATATATATATATATAATTATAGTATGCAAATATATAAATACTCGCTACTTGTAAACCTGTTTAAATTGTCGTGAGATGTTAGTCCAACCTTGTTTTCTTAACAACGTCAATTTAATTTATAAAAAAATATAACAGTAAACATTTAAAAAAGTTAAATGACAAAATTGAGTCCCTTAAAAAAAAAAAGAAAAGGAAGAAAAAACAAAAAGAATAAATTGCAGCAAAATATATATAAAAAAATCGAATTAGTTGCAAAAAGCTGCTACAGTGAAGACGTCATCTTCAACTTGCAAGTTGATGGAAAATTCGAATTTTTTGTACTAATGGAAGTACGGTTGGGCCACCGTAATTATGAGCCTTAACAGGTGGCTGCTTCAATTTCAAACCCTAATTATTTTTTTAGTTTTATTAACTGTGACACTCAACAACACCATCGTTGTGCTATTAATAAGATAAACGGTAATAAATATTTTTAAAAATAATATATTAAATTTTCAATCATTAAATATTTATTATTTCTTAATTTTTTTTTTAAAACTCAAATCCACAGTACTTTTTTTTTTTTTTCTGATTATATAATGATTTGGGTTCCTAGTTTGTACCTCATGAGCCATAGGCAGCTAGGAAAGTTTAAACCGCGTTTGAGGCGTTTGACCTTGAGTTGCCATAAAAGTGGATTTCGTATGCCCTAGCCTACACAACACAATCACTCTCTTTTTTGGAAGTTGTAATAAAATAATTAAATGTGTTATTATTTATTCATTTGAGTGTAAGCAACCTAACGTAACACATCCCCACTTCCCTTCAATTCATGCATTTATTAATACAAGTGTTAACTTGAATTAATAATATTATTGTTAATCACAAATTATTATTTATAATCTTTTACTAATTCATAATTTCTCTTCTGCATCAAATATATGAATGATTACCATTTTAGTATTTTTATTCTCCAACAGAAAAAAAAAAAAATGTATTTCCGCGAATAGAGGGTGGCGCGAGTGTTGTCCAAGCACAAAAAACGCAGCGTTATTTTGTAGAGACTCAATTGGTGGTATCTTCCGACAATCGTGAAGGTGTCCGCACCGGATAGCTTCCGTGGCCGGCCACCAACACGTGGCGAAGAGTCTTTAGGCCGAAGCCTGGCTTTGGACAGAGACGTAGTTGCAATTAAAACCAATAAAATAAACTAATAAACAAATTGTTTGTGCAGAGGTCAAGCGAGGAACCGGCGAATAAACAAACTAACTTCTTTCTATGCGCATTGCGCACCTAACAACCGGAGCTCCGGCGATTTCAATGAACGGCGGCGAGGACAGAGAAAACGCAGCTTTTCGAGCTCTGGTGGATCGGTGCCGGAGCCTCGAGGAGAGCCAGGCCAAGCTAAGGGAGCAGTTCGATGAGCTACTGCAGAAGAAGCTCACAGTCAGGGACGATAACCATGACAATAACGAGGTCGTTGCTGATTCAACAACCCTCGATTTTCTTTCCGGTTACTTCTTATCTGGAAGTCCTTACGCAACCGTGTTGAAATGCATGGGCCACGCCGTTCACGTCCTCAGAGTTCCCTCCGCCGTGATCGTATACTGGTATAGTCACACATCATAGACGCTGCATTTTTTCTTTGAATCGTTTTTTCTTTCAGGTAATTTATTTACTTCAAGATACTATTCACGGTGTTATAATTTTTAATGGAACAGTTGAACGCTGTAGTGAGGGACAGGGAATAGGATGCGTGAGAAACTAGTTTCGAGTTTGGTTTGACATCAGCACGACGTCGCTTAGAGGGCTATGTTATTCGGAATTGAATTTGTTATTTCGGTTGAAAATTGATAGTGTTTATTTGGTTCAACATGTTTTTAATGATTCGTGATGCGAGTTTTCCCAATTCGGCAATTCTGCAACATAGCATAAAAGAAAGGTTTATGGAATTTACTGTACTTAATAATTTTACAGGATATTTTTAACATTTCAAACTGAGCATGGTGGGGAAAGGCTTGGGGATTGGATTTAGAAGTCTTCATTATGACAAAGGACAGAGTGTTTGACATTTAGGTCTCTGTTGAAATTGGGCATTCTACTGGGAATCACATTGACATTACTGAGGGAAAGAGACATCGTGTTGCATTTTCTTCAATAGATAATGGTAGGATTGCTTTCATTACCAAGTGTTAATCGAGTTTAACACATGTGGATCAACACCCTGTTCCCTGAAGTAATGTCCAGAAACATGGATCTATGCATTTGGGGGAAGTATAGAAGCTTATTTGTTATAAAACTTATTCGATCCGTTGTGTTAATTAATCATGAACAAACTGTAGAGTACAATAATAAATCTAAAAGGATTAGGGGTTAGAAATTGGCTTTTCAGCAGCCATAACTCATTAGACTTGCATGTGCACCGACAATCGAGTCCAATCTCAGTTAAGATTCCACTCTGAAGTTACCTCTGGAAATTATTCTTTTTTGCTTTTCATATTGCTTTTGAGTCAAATCTAATATTTCAATTTCAGGAATCACTCGGCTGAAACTCTATATGGATGGAAGGACTACGAAATCATTGGCCAAAAAGTAACTAAATTCCTAATTGCCGAAGAAAATTATGCATCTATGCGAAAAATTCTGGAAAGGGTAGTTTCAGGAGTACCATGGTCTGGGCAGTTTCCTTTCAAGAAAAGATCTGGTGAAGTATTTATGGCATTGGTAACAAAAACTCCTCTTTATGAGGATGGTAAGCTTGTTGCTGTTATAACTGTTTCGAGTGACGCCACTATATTAAAATCTACGAATTCAGAAAATCAAAGAACATACGAATCTGGTAACAATGGCCAACCTGGAGTACAGAGGTTAAACTTCAAAAAAATTCAGTGGCCTCCGCGACCAATGATTGCACCAATGCCACAGATTGCTTCATGTGTTTCCAATCTGGTTCTCATTAGTGTTATCTTTTTTACTTTTTTTTTTTTTTTTTTAATTTGGGTTTCTTTTTATTATTTTCTGAAATTATAGAATCGTATTTTTTACATCTACCAGGCATCAAAACTTCTCCCAGTGCTGCATAGTACTGATAACACAGTTTCCGTGAACACTTCAACAGATGCTGTTGCAGATGATGAAAAACCAGAGAAACGTGGCATATATGTATGTCTCTGTTCACCTTGAGGATGTAATATCTGAGTAGTTATTTAAATATGAGAATATTTTAAGTTTTTGTTCCCTAATTTTGAATTTCAGGAAACAAAACCTCATTCCAGACATCTCCCTAAAGAAAACACAACTGCCACAGAGGCCTCTGAGAAGAATGAGTCTACTGCAGAATTTGGTCAAGCTTCTAAAATTGTAAATAAATCTCCTACTTTCCCTTTTATTAGTTAATCTGTTGTGCTATGAACCTTCTGTGTAACTTTTTATCCAGTTAAGATATGTGATCTTCTCTATGATTAAATCACTTCAGGCAGCCAAGCTTCAAACTGGGGCACGTGCAAAATATGGGAAGGGTAATGGAAATATTAAAAATAATTGTACTGCTGATAATTCAAGAAGCAGTAGAGTGAGTAATGAAAATGATTCATCTGGGGGTTTAGTGCCATTAAATCGATATCAGGATGTTGTTAATGGAGCAGATAAAAAAGAAAGTCTTCAAAAATGTAAGTCTTCACTTGCAATGAAGAGAGCAGATACAACAGCGTCTGCATGTAGAGCTTCCACTGTTTCCAAAGATAGTTCTGGTAAACCTTGAGTGGTATGAGTGTTTTGATTCTCCCATTCCCCAATACCCGTTGTTAAGATTACACTGTCAATTTGATCTCAAGAAATTGGAACCAGATGCTACACATATGATGACACGAGATGAAGTGAAAAAGCAGCAAGAAGGCTCGCAATTGCCAAGTTCGAGGGAGAGTATAGGCAGCCATGAAAGCTCATCTAGCAAAGGGGATAATGAGTCAACCTCTGTTTCAGACTGTGAAATCCATTGGGAAGACCTTCAATTAAGAGAGGAGATTGGACAAGGTAATTAATTCTATTATGCATTTTATAATTCCTCTTTGTTGAGGAGTTGAAATGCTAAAATGCTTTTATTTGTAAATAGCGGTTTAAGTTCAGCAAATGAAGACATATGGAGCAGTCTCAAAACAATTATTAATATCATTTTTCCCCACTTATATCTAAATGACCTAGAATCTTTTAAGCCACAAGTAAACTCGATCTCTTTGAAGGAAAATTCAGTGTGTAGTGGGTGATGAATTTGATAAACATGTAACAAAAATATTTGCCTCAAGATCTCAAGGTAGGACCAGAGATTTTAATGAATATCTTTTCAAATAATTATGTTGATCTACCTGCATCTTTCGTATAGTAGAACTTGAAATGTTTCTGAATATTCTTATTTTCAACTAATGATTACTGTACTGACATAGTTATGTTCTACTCTATTTTGCAGGTTCTTATGCAGTTGTTTATCATGGAATTTGGAATGGATCGGTATAAATTTATCATATTATTCTATGTTATTTTTAGTATTGACTAGCCATCTGCTCTAAAACTTATTTTCTTTTTCAGGATGTTGCTGTCAAGGTTTATTTTGGGAACGGATACACAGAGGAGACTTTACAAGGCTACAGAAAAGAGGTCTCTCTCTCTCTCTGCTTTAGGTAGAAAGCAACTAATCCATGATTTCTTTTTGTGCATTCCTCAGATTGATATAATGAAGAGATTGAGACACCCTAATGTATTACTTTTCATGGGAGCAGTATACTCACAGGAAAGGCTTGCCATTGTGACAGAGTTATTACCTAGGTAAGATTTTCCACATCATTATGTTTGAGCTGGTTAAGGGAGTTGTGCTTGTTAGGAATCCAAGTGGAGTATAAAATTGAGTAATTTATAAGTGAGAAAGATAACATAATGTCATAATATTTTGGGTTGAATATCTCACCCACTTTGGGAAGAAAATCCCCATTTACTTTTCTTTTTGTATGGAAATTATAGGAATCATCTTAAATTGATTTTATTTTGCACGGCAGGGGAAGCCTTTTCAAAAATCTACACAGGAACAATCAGACATTAGACATCAGAAGACGTCTAAGGATGGCTCTTGATGTAGTGCGTGTACTCTACCACTTCACAACATACAAAAGTTGAGAGCAAGCTGGTGGCTTGTTGAACCTTCCTTTTGCAATGTTGTAAATCACATTGTTGTTCATTTCAGGCTAGAGGAATGAATTATCTTCATCACAGAAATCCACCAATTGTGCATAGGGACCTGAAGTCTTCCAACCTGCTTGTAGATAAAAACTGGACTGTAAAGGTGATGAATGCTTGAAAATGCGTAGAGTGGTCCTAGTATGGTTCGGTATAATGAGTTTTTGTTTTTTCTTAGGTTGGAGATTTTGGCCTGTCTAGGTTGAAGGATGCAACTTTATTAACTACGAAATCTGGGAGAGGCACCGTAATGACATCACTCACTTTTTAAATACAAAACTTCTGACCTGAACAGCTAGCAACTGTAAAATCTTTAATTTGTTTTTACTACGAAGTTTTATTCCTCTTTCTTACTAACAAGCATGTTTGCTGTTGGAATGCAGCCTCAATGGATGGCCCCTGAAGTCCTTAGAAATGAACCTTCAAATGAGAAGTAATTCCTTGGAGCTTTGACTTACAGATTGCTTTCAGACTGGAATTTTCTGGAAACTTTGAAAAATGAAGATATTCTGAACACTGAATTTTTCCAAAAAAAAATAAAAAAATTCCAAATTGTCATTTTCCGTAATTATTTGCTAATTGGTCCTGATGATCTTAAGGAATTGTTAATTCATCTTTAAATGTCCTACGTTTAAAATCTTTGATTAGAAACTTCTATATAGCTGCACTTTTTAGTTTTTTCAATCATTGTCCCACCTTGTTCAGTTTCAAAAAATATCACTAGTTTGGAAGTTGTTTTGTACTTGCAAGTAGTGCTTAGATCATATTAAATTGATAATGCAGTTTGATGCTTCTGGAGTAATGAATTTTCTTTAATTTTATAAAACAGGTCTGATGTTTTCAGTTTTGGTGTGATCCTCTGGGAACTAATGACTGAATCCATTCCGTGGAAAAATTTGAATTCCTTACAGGTCTCTCTCTCTCTCTCTCTCCGACACACGCATGTAGACACTAAATACACTTGTTTGTACAACTAATCTACTACAGAGAGAACTTAAACTAATAGTGCTACGGTACGCACTAACACACTGTAATGGTTACTTGGGAATTGGATGATTCAAATGAGTGAAGTGAAAGAGCATTTTATAGCAAAAAATGGTTCTTGTGCATTTAAGGCTTTCCGTGTTTTCTTGTCTCCAACCACTTGTCACCTTTTTTTGACTTTTCAAACACCAACAATCTCCCACTTTAGGACTGATTTCAATCTGTTCTCACACCTTGATTAATGCAGTAGTCTTCTCTGGTATGCTACTCTTGCAAGCCAACTGAAGTTGAGTATAACTTTAGTTTGTCAATGGTCACCACCTTCGTTAGCATATCTGCTGGGTTCTTGCTTCCTACAATCTTCTTCAATGTTAACACTTCATTCTTAAGTAGAGATCTGATGAAATGATAACGAATATCAATGTACTTGGTTCTGGAGTGAAATGCTGAATTCTTTGCCAAATGTATTGCACTCTGACTATCACTATGCAAAACATTCCCTTGAGTGAATCTCAACTCTGCTAACAGTCCTTAAAGCCATATCAATTCTTTACTGGTTTCTGTCACTGCTACATACTCAGCCTCTATAGTGGATAAAGCAACAATTTTTTGTATCCGCGACATCCAACTAACAGCTGTAGTACCAACCGTGAAAACATAACCGGTGGTGCTTCTTCGGTGATCAACTTCACCTCCAAAGTCTACATTTACGTAACCATGTAATCTTGGATTTCCTTTTCCAAAACACAGACATTTTTTTGTTGTTCCTCGTAGATATCTCAGAATCCACTTGACGGCTTCCCAGTGAGCCTTCCTGGATTTGCCATAAACCTGCTCACAACTCCCACTGCATGGCCAATGTCTGGCCTTGTACAGACCATTGCGTACATCAAACTTCCAATGGCTAAGGTTCCGTATGCTTCAGCCATTGGAAGTTTGATGTACACAATGGTCTGTACAAGGCCAGACATTAGTCATGCAGTGGGAGTTGTGAGCAGGTTTATGGCAAATCCAGGAAAGACTTACTGAGAAGCCGTCAAGTGGATTCTAGATATCTACGAGGAACAACAAAAAAATGTCTATGTTTTGGAAAAGGAAATCTAAGATTACAGGACTACATAGATGCAGACTTTGGAGGTGAAGTTGATCACCGAAGAAGCACCACCGGTTATGTTTTCACGGTTGGTACTACAGCTGTTAGTTGGATGTCGCGGATACAAAAAATTGTTGTTTTATCCACTACAGAGGCTGAGTATGTAGCAGTGACAGAAGCCAGTAAATAATTTATATGACTTCAAGGACTGTTAGCAGAGCTGGGATTCACTCAAGAAGGGAGTGTTTTGCATAGTGATAGTCAGAGTGCAATACATCTGGCAAATAATTCAGCATTTCACTCCAGAACCAAGCACATTGATATTCGTTATCATTTCATCAGATCTCTACTTGAGGATGAGGTATTAACATTGAAGAAGATTATAGGAAGCAAAAACCCAGCAGATATGCTAACGAAAGGGGTGACCATTGACAAACTGAAGTTATGCAACTTCAGTTGGCTTGCAAGAGTAACAAACCAGAGAAGACTACTGCATTAATCAAGGTGTGAGGACAGATTGAAATCAGTCCTCAAGTGGGAGATTGTTGGTGTTTGAAAAGTCAAAAAAAGGTGGCAAGTGGTTGGAGACAAGAAAACACGGAAAGTCTTAAATGTACAAGAACCATTTTTTGTTATAAAATGCTCTTCACTTCATTCATTTGGATCATCCAATTCCCAAGCAACCATTATAAGAGTTAGCCAGCAAGAAGCAGAAAGAAAATAATCTAGTTTCTGGATGTAATTGGGTTGAGGGTTGCGAGTGTTTTGAGAGTGATTTGTAAATACCTGTGTATTTTATTTTCTCCTTGTAAAATATCTGCAGTAGTCCGAAGACGTAGACAATTTTGGCCAAACTCCGTTATCAATTGGTGTGTCCAATTATTTCGTCTTTTTATTTCACTTTGACATATCTTACTACATGAAAAAGTTATATGGATTTTTTCCAACACACACATCATCTCCTCTGATCACTTTTATTAACCAATTTCCAAACTTCACAATATGAACTGTAATCACGTACCTACTTGAACGGTCAAGTATCATGGTTTGTTAGTAAATATGTTTAACAATTGATTAATTAAAGTAACAAAGGGTAGAGAAATCTAAACACTGTAGGATTGTTTTATAATCATTGTATTTCCCTTGAAAGGTTGTCGGAGTCGTAGGCTTTATGGACAGACGACTGGACCTACCAGAGGGGCTTGATCCCCATGTTGCGTCAATCATCGATGATTGCTGGCGAAGGTGCTTCTATACACACACTTCAGTTTGAATATGATATAGATTGCCTAATTCGTTGTAATTCAAGTTTACTTGTGTTAAATGTAAGCAGTGATCCAGAGCAACGCCCATCATTTGAAGAGCTGATCCAGAGAACGTTGTTCCTTGTCAACAGAGTAACAGCAGTGTCAATTAGGAGAATTTCAGAATCCTAAACGAGTTGTATGGTTTGGGTTTTGCTTTCTGAAAATATGTTAGATTGAGAGGCACAAGGCAACAAAATGAGTGGCGATTGGCAAACCTTAAAACATTCTTCCTTCCAAAAGTAGAAGGAACAACACAACAGAGAGAAATGTAAGAGGATAGAAATGCTGGTAATTTATTGTGTTTGGAGTCACCGTCAGTATTGAATTCCTAATGCAATTATGGATATAAGGTAACTGGAGGCAAAGTGGATCCGTGACGTGCCCTTCTTCGTTGGATTTGGCTCCATATTGCTCCCACGTAATGACTAAAAAAATAACTGATGTCTCACTTCAGAGTTTTCACTTTGAGGGGGTAAATAAAGGAACATCAACCTTCAACAAAACCAATCGACGTTACGTGTATGTATATAATAAATCATGAATCATAAATGTATTAAAATTTATTTTCTCAATTATCTAAGTAGCAATGTATGTTAACTCCTTTATTTTAACATTTTGTTGATGATATGTATAATTGTTACTCTCTCTTTATTTCGGATAATCCGACTCTTCCATTTAAATCTTTCATCCGATTTAATTAAATTAGATTGAGTTTAACTTTTTTAATGATTGGGTTAAACTTAATCTAATCTAATTTAATTTCTTACACGTTGAGTGATGAATTTTCTAAGTTAAATCTAAAACTCCAGCCAACTTAATAATATTTATAATAATAATAATAATAATAATATAACTATTATTTTATTAATGTAATTGTTATATTAATTAAATATGTATTTTTGTAATATTAAATCATTCAAGTAATAAATAATATAATTCATCTTATAAAAAATATTTTAAATTTAAAAATTAAATAAAAAATATTTTTTAAAATTCTCTAATTTAATTAACTCAACTTAATCTAACTTAATCAAGAGGATGTTTTTTCTATTGGATAAAAGATGAGTTTGGTGAAATTTAAAATCATCCAACCCCTGCTTCTTTCTCTTCTATCTTTTTATTTTCTTATAATCTCTTTTGCGTTATAAAAATAGAAGAGGAAGTTCAGAGGACAAAGTAGGGGTGCTTAGTATCTCTCCCAACTCGTCATGTAATGATATAGAATGAAAGGAACAAAATTGTTCTCGCACACTTTTATTTCCATACTTGGAATAAGAGATTTTCATTAGTGATAACCTTTTCCACTCTTTAATATTTCTCACGGAATCAAATACTCATAAGATTTATTGTATTTTCTCTCTCTTGTTTTTGTTTACCTAATTTTCCTCATTGTATTAGAAAATAAAATAAAACAATCCTGATGAGTTGAGGTGATGTTTGTCTACTCTACACTTACTACAAAATATGTATTTAATTATGATTGTGTATGAAACTTTATTTGACCAATTACCATCACAATATCACAAGTAAAATTAATCTATATCCATTAAATAAAATAGAAGTGTTTGTTTATCATTTTTCTCATCTAAATAATTATTGGAAAAATTTCTATATCTTTTTATTTTCTCTCCATTTTGAAAAATGACTATAAATAGTTACAAATTTTTTATACATATAAAATAAGAGTAAAGATTGCTAATAGAAGGAAAAATCATTCCTTCTTTTGTTTGGAAAGACAGTTTGTAAGAAGGAAATAACAAGTATGGTTCCTCAATAAATAACTATATATATATATATATTATTGAAAGATATATCAAAACAAAAATAGTGCTATTTATTTATCATTTATATTTTCTTTATTTATAATTATATGTGTAGAAAAAATTGTTGCTAACCAACTTAAAAATCATTTTCTTTCTTTCTTTAATCAATATATGTTTCTATTTAATTTGAAGTTATGTAAATATGATTTTGGTGGAATCTGGTTGGTGCTACACACCTGAAATAGACTCTATCAACTGAAAAGCTTGGAATTGTAGTCTGTAGGAGAAGTTCACATTTTTGTTCTTATCTATGATTCCCTGCGTTAGAACTATTGAAAAAAAATTGTAATTGGACATTTCATTTTATATGTACCATACCAACCAACATCATAAAACGTGTCATCTCCATGCTAATTTTAACATGTATGGAATTGTTTGTTCAAAACTAAGATGAGATAATACAAAACTGTATCCAAAATCAGATCAACAGTTTCTACCTTGAGCCAATCAGGTAATCAATTTGTAAAAAATTATAAAATTGATTAAAAAGTCCAAAAATCAATACAAAAAATTCATTCGGTAAAAAATTTAATAATAAACTATTTTAATTATTCTTAAAGAAATAAAAATAAAAATATTTATTATTTTCTTTTTATAAACTTATTATTTATGAAAAATAATAATTATTATTGAATTTTGAATTTAAATATAATAATATTTTTTATTTAAATTTTATATATTTTGAAAATAATAAAATAAAAATTTATCATTTATTTTAATTTTGAACCTTGTAAAATATGATTAATTTTTATATTATTTTCACATATTCTTTAACTTTTATAATAATTTATTAATATCGATTTGATTTCAATTTCATATCAAGCATTCAATTTTAAATATGCTTTGATTGATTTAATTTAAAAACATAGATATATAATAACATGTTTAAGAGTTATTATTTTGAAAATAAGTAATAAAATGAATAAAACTATCTTATAAATTTTAATAAATCACATAAATTTGTCTTTTAATTTTAATATTTCATTATTTGATTCAATGGTTATTTTCTCTTTTCCACGGTATAGAAAGGGAATTTTCGGTTTTTAATCGTTTTGATATTATAAAAAATGTTGTATTCATAATATATTATAATTTATATATTTAAAAAATATAAAAAATAAAAGATAAAAATAGAATAGATATAATGAATGAAAAAAATGATATATAATGAAAATATTTTTTTTAAATGTATAATAAATTAATAATATAAAATATATAAACATTTTAATACTTGTATTTTCACAGATTTTTATAATAAAAGTTTTATCATTTTTATATAAAAGTTTTCACAGATTACAAAAATTTGAAACCAATAATATATATATATATATATATATATATATATATATATATATATATATTACAAATGCAAAATTTTAATCATCAAATTTTGCTTGGACTTTGTACAAGGATTCGTTCTCTAAAAGAAAAAAAAAAAAACAGGACAATAAATATAAGAATTTGAAGAAAATAATTTTTTAATTTTAATTAAAGAAATAATGAAAATAAAATTGTTTAATTTAAGAGGAATAACAATCAATAAACAATATTTAGAAAATAGATATTATCATTTGTATTTTATTAATATTGTGACTTTTATTAATTGTAAATTGTAAAATTTAACATCATTTTAAAATTTGTTCAAAAAACCACAATATAATCTGAAATGAGTCAAGGTAGTATATAATCAACATAATCATGTCAGTTAAGCATCTAGTAAGAAATTTAATGTATAACTATAACTGTGTATGATAAAATATTTAGAATGATATATATAAATAATCATTTGAAACAAAAACATTTATTAGACAATATATATTAATATAAGTATTAAAAATTATTATTATATTTAAAGTTATTTATAATATGTTTATAAATTAGTTTCTTATTTTGATCAGTGATATTCTGAAAATAAATAAAAGAGTGTTTGTATATTATTTAAAAAAATAGATAAGTAAACAATTTTACACTTAATGTGTGAATATTTGAAAAGATAATAAAATAAAATCCAAAGAGAATCGAGTAACATGACGTAGTTGTCGGTTTGATTCGTTGACGGGGAATTTTGAAAACAGAGTCTGGTTTTGAAGGTTGAATGGTGAGTGATGTGTGCATGCGGGTGTGAATCATATTTGACCATTTCAATTCAATTCACACTTCTCAACTCTATATTTCACATCATCCCAACCACTACTTCCATCATTCTCTTAAATTTTAAATTCAACGTCCAATGCAATTCGTAACACGTTTTTTATTTTTTTCTTGTATATTTCTACACTCTCAAACAGTTTAAATTTTTATTTATTTATTCTGAATCTAATTTTGGAAATTTTGATTACGATAAGACATCAAAACAAAACCAATGAAAGAAAAATATTTGGTAGGACAACTTTTCATGTTCTATTTTCAACAAAACACTCTTCTTTTATTATCATATGTATGGTTCTCTATTTTATTATTAGAAAATTGTCGTTCATAAATGTAGTTATTTATAGTTGTGCCCTAATATTTTAAAATTAATTATGAAAAACATACAAAAGATGTACTTCAGAAAAAAAAAAAACAGTACTTTCACTTGTATTTTTACACATTAAAAACTAAAATGCATTAATTATATTTTCATTGCTACAAAGGGAGAAGTATTTTATTTTCCTTACAAAATTGCTTTGTAGTTTATAAAATATTAAGTAAAAAAGATTTTATGTCTTGAAGTACAAAAATTTATTTATTACTTACCATGATAAAATAAATACATTACTTTGTCAAAAAGAAATATCTTCCCTCTGCCTAGGTTAACCACCTTATAAATTTCAAAAATATATTTTATTAAAGTTTCAATATTTTATACCATATAATTGGTTATGCAATTTTGTTGTAAACTTCATATATAAATAAATTCATATATTGCTACGTCATTTTCATTCTCAAATTACGACTTTATTTATTCTCTTTTATCCAACCAAACACTTGCTCCTCTGTACTTTCTATTTATTTATTCTCTATTTTCACTCTAATTAACTTCCACTAGTGCAAAAAGGGGCTTTTACGTCAGGTATTTAGGGCTTTTACGTCGTATTTAAGTCCGACGTAAAGCGGGAGACGTAAATTTACGTCGGACCTTTTACCCGACGTAGATTTACGTCAGTTATGAAGATACGACGTAATTTTGCGTGGCATATACAATAAACAGACGTAAAAACCTTTTCAATTTAAAAAAAAAAAACAGAAAATTTACGTCGCATACAGTATATACGACGTAAATTTACGTCGCATATTGGTATATACGACGTAAATTTACTGTTTTTTTTTTAAATTGGGTTTATTTACTCTGTTTTACAACTAAAACCTGCAAAAATTACAACCAGACAGTCCAGAGCAGTTTTCTTTTGCTAGTAAATTAAAAATATAATATTATATAATTCAAACTACATAATAAAACAAAATAATACAAACATACAAACTAAAAAATCTATTACAAACTAAGCTACCTATACAAACTAAGCTACCTATACAAACTAAACTAAACTACATAATACACACAATATAATATGAACAAGAACATAAAAAATAATGTACTAGAATTGTAGAACAAAAAATTTTGCCCATTGTTCTCTAATTTCTGTAATCTCAGATTCTGGTAATGGAGATGGATCTTGAAATACCTGAAACATGAATTTGACTCTTGTAAGCATGCAACATGAATAAAGTTAAATAAACTTAACTAATGTTAAAAGTAATTACCTCCGTCCAAGAATCAATTAAACCCGCACAAACTATGGCTCTCATCCAATACATTACATAGTAACCACATTCAAACGAGTCAGCTTGCTTATTACACTGAAATGATGAAAAAAACATAATATTATTTTCAAAATTGAAATATAAACAATAATTATGGTATTCACTTATATAAATAAGTTTCTAACCTTAGGATAAATGAACTGCAATGTCTTTGTTCTAGGTTTTCCACTTAGAACATTAGTTCCAGATACACGATTCTAAGTGAAAAAAAGTCATATATTATTCAATATGTATTCACAATTTAAAAACATAATTAATGAATAAAAGATAAAGTTACCCTTGTAATAAGCTTTTCATTTCTTGACTCGGTTTCCGATGTAATGAACAAAACCATACCACGAGTGTAATCCCGGGTATGATTACAATTAACTGCCAATGGGACCTACATTGTATGACATAAAAATTAGTTACAAAAATATAAATTAAAATACAAATCAAAATACTAACCCTTCAATGTATGGAGCCAATGGTCCTGAAATCATCATAGATAACATCATATATTTTCTCTTCATGCATAACCAAGGAGGCAAATTGTAAATGATCAACATAACTGGCCATGAACTATGTTTACTACTTAAATTTCCATAAGGATTCATCCCATCTGTAGCTAATCCAATTCTCAAGTTTCTTGGCTCTGCACCAAATTCTGGAAAGGTTTCATCAATCCTTTTCCATTGTGGAGAATCAGCTGGATGTCGAAGAAGATTGTCACATTTTCTACCATTTGCATGCCATGTCAAGTTTCTTGCATCTTCTTTTATGGCAAATAATCTTTTAAACCTAGGTATAATTGGCAAATACCATAACACCTTAGCAGGGGGACCATCTAGTTCTTCCTCACCACTACTTTCCTCAACTTTGGTTTTGAACCTCGACAAACCACATGTCTGGACACATCTTTAATTTAGCAAAATCATTTCTGTACAATATACAATCATTAGGACATGCATGTATTTTCTTGTACTCTAAACCCATTGGACATAATATCTTCTTTGCCTCATAGTTACGAATAGGTAATGTATTATCTTCAGGAAGCATCTCCTTCAACAACTCCAATAATTCGGTGAAACTTTTATCAGTCCATCCATTTCTTGCTTTTAAAGTAAACAATTTTAAAGTTGCTGATAATCTTGTAAAACTACATCCTATGTACAATTGTTGCGCAAAATCAGATTTCAAAGAATCATATAGATGTGCTTTCATAAAATGTTCTTCACCAATATCACGTATCATATCCTCTAGATTATCATCCATCCCTTCATCAAAATTGTCTGTAGTTGACACAGTTGGGATGTCTAATATTTCTCCATGCCATGTCCATATTGTATAACTCTTAATAATACCATAAACAAACAAGTGATCACGTATATCCTCAAGTTTATGACGAATTTGATTCAAACAACGAACACATGGACAATAATATGTCCCTTTCATAGCTTTTCCATTTTCACTAGCAAATTTCAGAAATTCCTCAACTCCCTTTTCGTACTCTTCACTAATACGACGTGCATTCATCCAACTTCGATTCATATTATGTTATAAAGTTTCGTCACTCCTAAAGATTTAAAAATTATATGTAAAAAAAATTAATATACAAACAACAAAGCACGTTCCAACAACAATGGAGTGTGTAAACCGAATGCACTCAAACAAATAAACAAATAACTCGCATTTCAATAACAATCCAAGTGGAGACATTCATACTATAACGTGATTGAGATCCCCAAAAACAATCACGGATTCAATGTAAACATATAGCAATGACAATGAACACTAACCTCGAGTGTAGACGAAAACTGATTTCAAACTCGAATCCAATCGGGGAGAAAGATGAAGTTCGTCAAATGACACGACAATGTAGATGTTTTTCACTGTAAAACGCTCGCAAATGGTGTGCAGAGGTAGCTGTTGTCGTTGTTCTCGTCGTCGTTCTCAAAAACCCTGGTTGCGCGAGACGAGGAAGTGGGCTGGGAGGGAAATAAAATAGACTTTTTACGTCGCGCAGTGTAGTAGCGACGTAAAAGTCATCTTTACGTCACACTGGGAGGCGCGACGTAAAAGATGGCCTTTACGTCGCGTACAGGGGGCGCGACGTAAAAGCTAAGGCTTTTACGTCGCGTCCCCTGTACGCGACGTAAAGGCCATCTTTTACGTCGCGCCTCCTAGTGCGACGTAAAGATGACTTTTTACGTCTCCTATTGGGGTGTGTGACGTAAATTTTTTGTCCCATATTTACAAAATTGCCACCGCGTTTTATTTACGTCGAATATACGTGCATGCGACGACAATTGGGTGACGTAAAAGCCATATTCTGCACTAGTGTTCAATCATCAACGTCTTGTTCCACCATTTTCTCACTTATTTACCAATAAAACATTGCTCTAGATAATCTTTAATTCTGAAAAAAAGAAAATAAAAAGGGATAAGTTGAGAAATGAAAAATAAATTGAAAATAAAATTTATTGTTTAATTAGCCGGTAGAGTAAAAACAGGTTAAAAATGAAGATAAATATTTTAAAACTATATAATTTTAAATAAAAAAGTTTTTTTTTCTTTCAATTAAACAAACAAAATTATATGTTTTGTTTTCTCTTTGCCTTCACTTTATCACATGAGGTGTTAGAAAGAAGATGTGAAGAGAAAACTATCGTTCAAACGCAATGTACAGAGTCTCTATATCAAAATGAAGTTAGTTGGGATAGCTTTTGAAAAAATAAAAAAATAATAAGAACTAATTTATAAATAAATTGAAAGGACGTGTGTCAAATCAATTTATAAACTAGTCAAACTTGAATTCTAAATCCACATTCTTTGGCTTTGTTTTACGATTGATAAAAGAAAAAAGAATGAGCTTTAAAAATATATTTTGTTTTAAACTATATAAATACAAATTAAAAAATATTTAACAAAGAGTAATAAACTGTTAGATTCAATAATCGCCAATTTTTATTTTCTGTGAAAACATGGTTACTATCAACTCATTTACGTGTATTTTTTTCTTAAAATACAAGGCTCACAATTTGTGTTATTGTCCCGGTCTCTATTTTCTATGATATTTTCTTTCACCAAATGCACATGTGTGTGTCTTTTTCTTTTTTTTTTCTTCTATGATTTGGATACATTCGTTGTCTACACAAATCAAAATCATTGCACTTTTATTTGACAGCAAATCATTATATAAAAGTTAGTGAAAGAAAGAAAGAGGAAATAACAAATTTAATGCACACGTATTATGTTAGTTCTCCCCAAACGAGACCTTACTCTGCTACCGTCTTTTTCCTCCACAGTTTCCTTGTTTTTGCTTACACAAAAAGCCACCCTTTCTCCTTCCACAAACGCATCTTCAAAACCCAAACCGTTTTCGTTCATGATTTTTTCTATAACACTCAGTTAATGGGTAAGGCATCCAAATGGTTTCGCGGTCTTTTGGGCCTCAAGAGACCGGACTCGCCGTCCTCCGCCGCCGCTACCAAACCGCCCAAGGACAGACGACGGTGGAGCTTCGTCAAGTCCTACAGAGAAAAGGACCATTCCGCCACGGACCACCATGCACCACCCACCAACGGAGGCCACTCCTCGGGTCACGTGGAAAGCGCTGATCCCCACATCGCAGCAGTCACCGCTGCCATGGCCGAGGCTGCCTTCGCCGCCGTGGCTCGACTCACTAGCAGTGGTCGGTGCCCTGCCACCGTCGCCGGAGAAGTTACTCGAGAAAAATGGGCAGCGGTTAAGATTCAAGCCGCCTTTCGAGGGTCTTTGGTTCGTATGATCATTCATATTCTCCTCTCCTTCTTGTTTTATTCTTTTTCTTTATATCGTTAACGAAAATATATTTATGTTCATTCGAGTGGGTGTATCATCTTGCATGAGGTTGTTTTAACATAATCAGTGTATGTGGTTAACTTCATATACTCCAAGAGAGACCTCTTTGACATGAAGTAAAGTGTTTTATCAATTTTCAAACAAGTTAAATTAGTTTCCCTATTTTTTTTGTCTTTATGTTTAAGTGGTGTTGGTGAAAGGAGGTTTAAGTTTAACAAGGAAAATAAAAATATATGAAAGATCCTGGAAGATGGGTGAGTGAAAAGCGTAAATAGGGAGTGTCATCCTATGTTCGCAGATTTGGCTTATCTGTGAGACGGTGTCTTTTGTTGTGAGTTGGTTCGATTGTAAGTGGATTTGGTTAAAAATTGTCCTCTGATATTGTTTCCTGCAAAATATGATACTTACCATTTTGTTTAATTTCTTCCTCTGAATGAACATTGATTACAACTGTTAAATTTGTTTGGGTGACAGCTACTAACGCGTATCGAGGTGCGTCCAGCGTCACCATCTCTCTGTGTTTCTTTTCCCTCCGTGTTGCCCTTTTCACTATTAAATGCCATCTTGCTTTACACTCTTCACGCACACGCACTGCCCAGAGCGCGACATAAAGTGTAAAATAAAATTGACTGCTAACACTAATTCCTTAAAACGATCTTTGTAATCTCTCTCTCTCTCTCTCTCTGTATGTTTAAGTCAGATTTTATATATGATTTAGAAAAAAATAGTTAATGTATCGTAAAAATCTTATAGAAAAGAACAACAAATTATGCAAAAAGGGTGGAGTATTTTGGTATTTGTATATGCTTTTATTTGTTTGTGTCTTGGGGGTGAGTTTCTTGAGGTAAGGCCGGTACTTTGATGTAATGATAGATTCGCATGTAGATTGTAGAAGGGTTAATCAGGTGTTGGAAACTGATTTGAAAACTCAAGTACTACTCTTTTTCTTTTCCTGGTATAAGAATGATCCTTGGCTTGCCCATTGGTTTTTTGGTGGGTTTGTGGGGACAGGTGCAAATCTAAAGAAGCACCGTCACCACCCACCCTGTAATGTAAGATACGTTTCTTTTGGGTGGACTTGAATGACTTTTTCAGCTCATTAAAGTTCGATTTCATGACGACAGTATTAATACCATTAATTTCTATAACACCACTGTGCAGACATACTTCAATAATGCTGATTAATACTTCTCCTTTGCGTACAGCTCACATACTATCATTACTATTTCTCATTCAGAACTTATTCATTTCTTTTTTTCCTTTTTTTTAAACAAATTATGGATAGTTTTGACTAATATTACATCTGTATAAAATAGTTATTTTTTATGTTTTACAAAAAGCATTGGACTTACATCGATTAAGAAACCACTTCATTAAACTATAAAATTACATCTATATCTTATATAAGGATATTTTATAGTATGAAGGAAAATGATTTTTTGACAGGCTAGTGAAATTTAAGCATTTGGTCTCTGATGTTGAAAATATCTAGGCAAGGAAAGCCCTTCGTGCGTTGAAAGGTTTGGTGAAGCTACAGGCAATAGTGAGAGGTCACATTGAGAGGAAGCGCACATCAGAATGGTTGCAAAGAGTTCAAGCCCTCTTACGTGTTCAGGCCCAATTCCGTGCTGCCCGGGCCCAAGTTTCTCACTCCCCTTATTCCAATGCAAAGCCATCCACTGTCTACCTCCATGTAACCATTTTATATTCATTGGAAAATCAATTATATGTTACATGTGTCTATCAAATTACCGTCAGAATATTGTCTTCCATTCACAGGGTCCAGCCACACCAGACAAATTTGATAACCCGTTCAGATCCGAGAGCATGAAATACGATCGCTCATCATCCTTAGTCAAGGTATGTTTACCCTTTCCACAAGGGAAGGAAAATTCTGTGCATGGTTAAATAATTTAGTGCGTCACTTATGAAAAAATTACTACGTTGCAGAGAAACAACTCCAGATCCCGCATGCATATCAATGCCACTCAAGAGAAACATGGGAATAGACCAGATGGTCGCATTGATGAACAATCATGGCATCAACCAAGATCATGGTCAAGAGCCTGTAGCATGGACGAAGAAAGATGTCTCAGGATTCTAGAAAATGATTCTGTAAAATCACACGTTACATCAAAGCGGAGAAACCTCTTTTACTCCCCTACCCACGCTTTGGTTTGTGAAGTTCAGTCGTACAGTCCTCTGAAAGCGAACGAGGTTGAGGAGAACTCGTTTTGTGGTGCTGACAGTAGTCCTCAAACTTTATCTGCCTCTTCTAAAAATGGTGGCTCCAAAAGAAGCCCTTTTACTCCTACCAAGAGTGATGGCTCAAAAAGCCATGCAAGTGGTTGTTCTGAACCTGACTATCCAAGTTACATGGCATACACTGAATCCTCAATGGCAAAGGTAAGATCTGTGAGTGCTCCAAAGCAGAGGCCTCGTTATGAGAGGTCTTGTTCTTCTTCCAACAGGTACTCACTTCATGATCAAGGATTTGGTGACTCAAAATTGGACATGCAAAGGTTAGCTGCTTTACATGCAAACTTCACTAACAAAGTTTACCCTGGTTCTGGTCGTTTGGACAAGCTTGGTCTACCTGTGTCTTATTATAAATACTGATGTACGTAACATATTTTCAATGTTATTATCTATCTAATCATCCAATGCTAACCAGTTCTACCTATTTTGCTCTCTAATCCTTTACAATTTCGTAACCTATTTGGACTTTTCTGAGGATAATGTATCTACACATTTAATATATGATCATTTATTGTATCTCAGGTTAACACACCATATTTATTTTATTAAAAAATTATAAAAAACAAGACAGAAATTACTGTGACTGGTGTGTTCCATTTTTAATATAGGTTGAAACTTTAAAAATAAAAATAAATAAAGCTACCATAATTTTATTTGGCATATAAGAATATTTATGGTGTGTTTGGTTTTCAGGAAAGAAATAGAGTGATGAAAATATAGTAAAGAATATAATTCAGTATATGATTGATTGCTTGATAGAGGAAAAACAAGTGACAAATGGAGATAAATTGTTTTTAAATTTGTGAAATTTATTTAATTTAGTAAAAAATAAGAAGTGAGATAAGTAGTTCTTGTTGAAATTGATAAAAAGATTTCTTTAAAATAAAATATATTATTGGATCTTAGATATAAAATTATTTAAAATATTTTTTAATATAAATAAACCTTTTTATTTTAAATAATTCTATATATAATATTTATATTAAAATAATATATTTTATTTTTAAAAATTCTTCTAAATAACTCGTACGGCAGATACTTTAACTAAAATACTATAAGAAAAAATATCTCTTTCATAATCATGTTATGCTGTTAGTTATACTTTTCTTCAACTAACTTTTGTTCATGAGTTTAATTTTTCTTAAATATATATATATATATATATATATATATATATATATTTTTTTTTTTTTTCATTTTTATTAATGGATTGAACTCCATCAATAATAGAGTTTCCAGTTTTGAAAACTATATAATCCAAAAGAAATCTGCAACACTAAATAATGCAGATAATCCATCACTTGGATCAAAACCAAATTTAAGATAATAAGAAAAACAGATGCATTTATCCATTTTGGAAAGAATGGAAGCACATTGAAGATAGTTGCTTTATTTTCAAAAGTGCTTCTACAGTGTGCTAACATGAATTGTTCATTAGTGTGTAAAACAAAAACAATGATAGTTGAGGCGATTAAGGAAACATATGAGGTGGGAAATCTTAGCAGTCTTTTGTGGTGGTGTATACTGGTTGCAATGCAAAGAAGTCCAATTATTGTGGTGTGCGACAAATGATAAATGTTGATGTTGAAAAATCTAACCTTACAAAATCCAAACAAGTAAAGCGATGAAGGGACTCTCTTCTGTAACCCTTTATCCGGCATAAAGTAGCTTCTACTTCCAAATCACATTCATCTGCACCATCCCAGTCCCAATTCAATTTCTGGGGTGAATCCAGAAAATTATTTTCCTTCCGTTTGTATATGTTTCTACTCTTCATTTTTTTTTACTGTTAAAATAATTTACTTCTTCGGAACATTCCACTAAAAAGGTTAAATGTAAAATAAAAATAAAGGAAGACTTTTTTTAAAGTTATCTTTATAATAATTTCATTTCCCATGTTTTATATTCTACGTGTAAATTTGTATATTTTACAAGAGGAGGGTAGGTAACACATTATCTTTCTCTTTCTAGTACATATTTGAATTGAACATCAAATACGAGAAAAAAAATATAATAATAATAAGAATTGTGTAGAGTATATAACAAGTTTTATTTTTTTATAATTATTATATATAACTAATATATATTTGGTTTTGTTTTGAGTTGGTTTCATCTTTTTAAGTGTGACGTGTAGATTTTTAATTGACAAGTTTTAGAATTTTGTATAGGGTGTTGGTTAAAATGTACATGTAAGATATAGTATCAGTTATACTAGAATGAAAATGAGCAGTGAAAATTATAATGTTATAGTAGAAAATCAACAAAAAAATAAATGAATATATATAATTTTGTATGTATCAAGTGTAATTATTTCGTGAATGATGAAAAAAAAAGTGTTAAATGAGTTTGGGTAAATTTAACAAACCCAGCTATATCGTCTCCATTTTGAAATCATAAATTTTTTTGGTAATGTATGAAAATACAAGATTTTTTTTTCAAATAAAATAAAATGAAAATGTTTTTTAACATTATTATTAATGAAGAGGTTAAAAAAAATATTTCAGAAAAAAGAGGTTATGTTTTTAATTTTTGTAAAATGGGTCCTTTTTTATTTTGGTCTTCCAAGATTTGTTCTTTGTTTTTTTAAAACTAAAAATTGTTACTTTTGATACTAATTAGTTATTTATGTGTTAAACAAAATGTTAAATAATTATTTAGAGTTGGAAAAAATTAATTAAAAATTTCTATTTACTTATATTAATTATATTTAGAAGCATAATTAAAATTGATATAAACTGTAAAAAAAGTAATTGAAAACAGAATATTATTTAATTAAAGGCATTTATGAAAGACATCATTAAATAGAAAAAGTGTTAAAATTTATTTTTTTGTATTTATTTATTTATTCTTCTCAGTAGAAGTAATTTGCTAAGTTATCTAATTTCGTTAAAAATTAAATGAAAATCAGAATATTGCACCGAACCGTAGCGTTTAAGAAAAAACATGGACAAGCCAGCAATTGGAGACGCTATTTGTGGACCCACACTTAAAATCCGAACGCGATCCGGACAAACATCACCGGACGATAGGCTCCGTCGATTTCATTCTCACTTAAAAAAAAAAAAAAGAACAAAAAAAGAACATTGTCGTCATCACTCATCATCATTCCCGTTTTAATTTTCCAATTTTCAAAGCCCTTTTTGAGATAGGTAAGGTATCTCTTCTGTTCCGTTCAAATCAAAACCATAATCATTGGTTACTTAGTGCCTTCATTTGCCTCTACCAAGTGCCACCTGCACCCATTTCATTTCTTCGCAACAACAATTTTCCATGTTCTGAACTGAGTCATTAGTGGACTCGGCGAGTCACGCTTTCCGAATCGGTTTTTCATTCTCCAGGAAGCTCAAACATGGCCACGGCAAGGTCCCCGAGCCCTTCCTCCGAGGACATCCTCGACTCGACGCCGCTGTTGGCCAATTCCGGCGGCTCCTCAGACGAGCTCACCTCCGGGCGCCGATTCGCGAGGCGGCAGCGGCTCCGGCAGGCGGCACGGTTCCTCCGGCAGGCGAGCGGGCGCAGGATGATGCGCGAACCGTCGATGCTGGTCCGTGAGGCGGCGGCGGAGCAATTGGAGGAAAGGCAGAGCGATTGGGCGTATTCGAAGCCGGTGGTTGTTCTGGACATCGTTTGGAACTTCGCTTTCGTGGTTGTGGCGGGGACCGTGTTGATTTTGAGCGAGGGGGAAGCGCCGGGGATGCCTCTGAGGTTGTGGATTGTGGGGTATGCTATGCAATGCGTCCTTCACATGGTTTGCGTTTGCGTGGAGTATAGGAGAAGGAGGAGGCAGCAACGCGCCACGGCGTCGGTTACAGCGCAGGATAGGGTTGCGAATAGCAGTGGGAATTTGAGTTCGTCTTCGAGGGAAGGTTCTGCTTCTGGCTCTGTGCAGTATGTGTCGTTGGGGCAACTCGATGAGGAGGGTACTAGGTGAGTTTCTTCACTTTTTTTTTTTTTTCATGGTTTAACTAGGATTTTTATTTTGTACATAATTTCGCCACCGAGTGATACAGATGCTTTTGCTGATGGATGAAGAGTTACTGAGACTATCATGTGAACTTTGGAATTCTGTGTTACGTAAACAAAATTTAAGGTGCGAGTGAGAGTTGCCATTTTAGTTATACTTGTGAATGATTTCATTATTAGATTAAGTGCTAATGTAGCTATCGTAGCCTTCTCTTTAGGGTTACTTGTCGGCTAAAGCTTAATGAATTTGATGTAAGTTTAATGGTAAAACAAGAAGACAGAGATTGCTACGTCATCTAATTTTCTTTTAAAAGGGTTTATTTATTCAATTTCTCAAAGCACAGGTGTAAGTGTGTATGATGATTATGTACAAAAAGGATCAATGTAGAACCACAGTGGTTGTAGCTGATTGTATTTCAGATTTCAGCATTGGTTTTCTTAAGCTTCAATTGGCTATTGGAATTGGAATTCGGCCTAGAAATTAGAAAATAGGCCACTTAATTTTAATTATCGTTTTTAGCATGCGTGAGGCGAACCATGGCACAATGATAAGGCTGTTGCCTTTTGACTAGGATGTTATGGACTCAATTCCTGAAACTACCCTCTCTGCTTGTGAGGAAAAAGTTGTGCATATTAACTATCCAGAGAGCCCATTAGAAGGTAGCTTGTTGTAAGGATATCTCACATTGGTTAGGAATGGCCAAAGTAGCCTTTTCAGAACGGGGCAATCCTCCTTTCTTGATCAACCTTTTGAGAGTGAATTTTGCCTAATTCATTTCTAATATTTGTGCATTTGGTCTCCCTTTTGTTTAGCACATGCATTAGATGTAGAATTGTGTTAGAAAGTGACCCTAATGATAATCACCCCTAGCCGGCCTTGGTTGTGGCTTCTTTGGGTTGTCTTAATTACAGTCTCTAGGATGGTGTTTAATGTCACATCAACTAGAGACATTACTTAAAAAGAGCTTATAAAATTCGGGGTAGTCCTTACACCTCATCTTACAAGATGGTTTTGGGTTTGTTTAGACGAACTTCTCCTTAAAGACTTTAAGGAAAGAAAAATATGATTCTTCTCCATATGTTCAAATTTTAAAATGGTATTAGAAAAACAAAGGGTATCTTAGATTCATTGTTGGGCCACCTGCATTACCACACTCCAAGCTAGTAGCCCTGGATCTGAAGGCCAGTGTTGGAAATTTGCAGTACCCCCTGGTCAGCCATAGTTGCAGTCTCTTTGGGGACTACCTTAATTTTAACTCGTAGGGTAGTGTATAGTCCCAATTGTGTGGGTTGAGTTAGGCCCTAATCCAAATTCTAAGAAATTTTAATGCTAAGTAACAATTTCAAACACACAAAACAGAAATAACGATTACAAAATTTTAACATGACCTTAAAATTTACAATTCTGTTAAGTTTCCAAACACTTAAATACTCCACAGAGCATCCCATACTACTCGGATATGGGACTTAGGCCCCCCATAGTGCCCAAATTTCTATCAAATTCCAAGGGATGAGGTTTAAAAGGATGTACAAGGGAACAAATTTCGTTGTTTATCTTTGACATGTCCATTCTGTAACGAACATTATTGTTGTGTACTAAAGCAATTGTTGTTGTTACCAGTGTACTTTGACAACATATTCTATCTCCTGCTTTTTTTTTATTCTCTTTCATAACATTCTCTGCCCCCTGGATGATTTTAGTTACAAGATATTTCAATTTTACTATTATTTATTCATGTAACTTTTGTTCTCATATAAATTTTGAACAATGAAATTCTAATTTTGTACATCAATTTGCCGGTCATCAGTGTTGCAAAGCATTTGGAATCAGCCAATACAATGTTTTCATTTGTTTGGTGGATTATTGGATTTTACTGGGTATCAGCCGGTGGTCAAGATTTAGCCCAAGATTCTCCCCAGCTTTACTGGTTTGTCCTCTCAGTCTCATTCCTATTGTTCATTTATCTATTACTGCTTATTAAATGTTTCACTTGTAATTTACTCATCTTTGGAAAATCTGCTAATATTTTCTTATTCTAGTTGAATATTTTTGACAGAATCTACATGCTTTGCAGGCTATGCATAATCTTTCTGGGTTTTGATGTTTTCTTTGTCGTTTTCTGTGTTGCACTGGCGTGTATCATTGGTATTGCTGTTTGCTGTTGCCTTCCATGTATCATTGCACTTCTTTACGCAGTTGCAGATCAGGTAACTCATGTTTGATTTGTCATTTACCTGTTCTTGTTTTTGAAGTCTGTAAAGCTAGTGAATCTGGTTTCTCAGAAGATCCAAATGGAAGCACTCTATTCTGTATAAAAATGGGTAGGAAATTGCTGAGCAGTAATGATATTTGAAGTAACTTTCAAATTTTACCTTTTCAACATATATTATAATATTTTGTATAAAAATTAATGCTGGAGCCTTTACCTTTGTAGAACACATGAATTGGCAGATTAAACTTGTGTTATATCGGATACATGTTTCGCATACCTAGTTTCACTTGCCCTACTACTGTACTATTGTGTGCTTGCACAGTGAACATGACTCATTCCTACAGTACAACAAAAACATAATGGATATCATACACACATAATCTAATATTTGGTTGCTCTCTCTAGGTCTTCTATTTTTCTGCACACAGGAAACCCTCAGAGACTGTTTATAGATTTTTTTTTTTTTTTTTTTCAGATTCTCCGGGGTTGCAAAAATGAGGAAAATTATAACGTTATTTCTTCTAAAATTAGAGAGATGGGATCCAGAGAGTAAACCCAAATGTTCTAAGTTGGAATTTTTACGTTATTTTTAGCCAAGCATGTTCTGCAACCAAAAACTAATGGTACTTTTAGAATCCAAGGACGGGTGAAGAACTATTCTGATGTAAAATTAGAAAAGATCAATAAAGTCTGTGTTTTAGGTGTCATAAGAAATATAGCTCAGATATGTGAGCCAGAACAAGCAATTTGCAGTTATGTTACTCGAGGAAGATTTAGGAATGGCAGATGGTGAATAATCTGCTAAATTTCGTGTTGAAGACACTGTTTTTTTTTTTTTTTTGAGACGGGCTATAATTAGGGACCACATGTACAATTTGAAAAAGTAGGTCGACACCATTCATTCACATGAATTAGAAATGAAAGGGGGGAATGAGGAGTGAGTTTGGGCAGTTCTTGATAGATTGAGGGAGCAAGTTAGCGAAGAGTTCATGCCTCTAAAGTACCTGGAATTGGAGTGTTAATGCAACTAATATTCTGCGTTACCTTTGTATCTTCATTTTCTCCTCTTTTACATTGTATCCCATTGATGCAGACCTGGACATAAGAGGCTTCTGTCAATGAACAGTCTGTTTTCATTCTTTATACGGAATCCTGATCCAGTCCTATTAAAAATTTTGCAATGCAACTTGATATTTTGTGTCTTTGACGTTGATTGTGAGTGTATGGCTAATATTATTGAGATGGTGAATGTTATGTAGCATAGGACTGTTTAGTGGGAGATATTTATTGTTATCTATATATTTATTCATTTATTGTTATTTACTATTTGTCCTTGTCTGGGTAAAAAACACAGGAAGGAGCATCAAAGGAAGACATTGACCAGTTGTCAAAATTTAAATTCCGGAGAATTGAAAGCAATGAGAAACATACCGGTACTATACAAGGACATGTTGGAGGAATAATGACTGAATGCCTGGCTGAGTCACCCATCGAACATGTTCTTGCTGAGGAGGATGCGGTATGTCATAAATGTTATGTGTGGATTTAACCCATTTCATTCTGTTGGTTTTGTTGCTCCGTCTGTTAATATATATTGAGCCTGTGCGGGAAATTTTTTTTCATAAGCATATCTAGTTGAGAAAAACAAGTAGGAAAAATGAAATAGGTGTATATAAGTTAATCTATAGAAGCTCTTTCATATTAATTTCTCTAAAAGAATATTTTGAACTTATGTACAAGTTAATTTTAGTTTATAAAAAAGTTTATTTTATCTTTTTTTCTTCTGAAAATGTGTATGGAGAAGTTTACCCAGGAGACTCACTGTTTTTGTATATTTCAAACAGAATTCCATGTTTCAAACAGACACTTTGTTGCATACTGTTTTTTAGTGTTACTATCACAGTTTTGATATGTAACTGCAAATCTGTCTTCTGATCACACAGTTAAACTGCAATTTGTGAATATTTTGTTTGTATGTGTGCTTGACATGTATGGAGTATTTTGCCATTGAATAAACCATCTTTCATCCCTAAAATATCACTTTTTCTCCTAAATGGTCCCTAGAGTAAGAAAATTATACAAGTAATCCTCAAACTACAAATATTAGAATTCATAATATATTGTCCCCCCAGCTATAGGAATGTCCATTAGATTGATCCCTAACATTAGTAAGATATAATAATGTAATTCATTTAATCTTAAGTGACTACTTAATTATTTTATTACTTTAGGGACCATATAGGAGAGAGTGTAATACTTCAAGAACTAAATTGATGATTTATTCTCTCATCATACATTATAAACAGAAGGATATTGATATAGTGGTTTTAGTGCATGCTAGATGATCTTGATACTAGACAATAATGGCTGCATCATCAGTCACTCTACAAATCTGAAATTTTTCATTTTTGGTGTACTGTAGGAATGTTGCATCTGCCTTTCTTCTTATGACGATGGGGTTGAGTTAAGAGAACTTCCTTGTGGTCACCATTTTCACTGTGTCTGTGTGGATAAATGGCTGTATATTAATGCCACTTGCCCCCTCTGCAAGTATAACATCTTAAAAAATAGCAACCTCAGTCAAGAGGAAGTGTAGAAGATTGATGTCAGGAAAGTTTTTAGTGACCATGTTGAGGAATCTGCATACTTTTGATTATCGGCACAGCTTGTTAAATATACTTTGACACAGTCCTATGTATGCAGTTACTGCTGTTTTGTGCTGTTGTCATGTAGCGATAGCTGTTATGACTATTTGTAGTTATTGTGGCTTCTAACTGGTTGTGTATATCAGTGTTGTTCAGTGCATACCGCCTATAATCATCTTCAGATTCAATTTGGTTGTCATTTTTATCTTGGGTTATACAGTCATCATTGGTATTTTTGTATATGGAACCAAAATGTCTTGCCTAAAAGTCACTGTGAATGGTTTATCATGTCTAATTACATGTAACGAAAATGTTTAGTTCAACAGCCTCCATTTGTTTCACTTTGCAACATTCTTATACCTTGTGTTTATTTGAGTGTAAGCAAAGAGAAAAAAAAAAATGAAAAAAATAGAAATCCATGGAGCGTATATATTTAGTGAAATAAGATATACAATAAAAATATGATATAAAAAATAACTTGGAAGAGATTTATATTGTATAAAAAATATTAATATGGTTGTCTGTTATCACATCACACTTTCCCAAATTCCCAATAGTAGGATGGAGACTTGTTTGATGCGGATATGATGATGATCTAAATCTAGCAAAAATTCCAACTTCTTAATTACGTTGCTACTCAGAAACTGCGTTTACACTTCACACTGCCCAAATGCTCTCTCTCTCTCTCTCTCTCTCTCTCTCTCATGCTGTCCATGCGAGACACTGGGAGCATTGAAATTTCTAAATTTCAGCTGTTTTTATATAAAAAAAATGTTGTATGGATTGTTAATTTTTCACATTTGTAATACAGTCTCTTTTTTTTTTTTTTTTAAAGTAACTCGATTTCGTGCATATGAAAAGTAATCATTATGTTTTAAACATTATTTTTTTCTCCTAAAAAAGATGCTATCATTCAATTACCCCTAAATTTCCCAACATCTTTCATTTTTATAATTGAAAATAAATATTTATAAAGTTGATTTACCAAATTTTCCACATTGTTGCGGCGCTTCCACTCCTTTCTATCAAATAACAATTTTTGGATTAATAGACATTTCCCTATCATTCTTCTATGTCCACCGTTTGTATATATATTTTCTTTTTTCATTTTAATCCATTACTCTAGTAATTAATGAAATGATCAGTAGATATTGAAAATAACTATTATGTTTTCTAATACGAAAAAACAGTAACAAGAATTTTTAAAGAAAAGAAATACATAATATTAATATATTTAAATAGCTTAAGAAACATTTTGTTGAAGAACAAATGATACGTACCAGGAATCAAGCGACACGCAGATGCCAGATGGATCCATTCACACTCACCTCCAAAACCAAATTCCAAAGTGAAGACCGTTCCACATTTTTCATTAATTGTATTATTTAAAACAAAAACTTAAAAAAAAAAAAAAAAAAAAAAAAAAAAAACTAAAAATCGGTCTCCATGCTGCAGTGTCCACTTGCGCTTGTGCCACTGCTGCCGCCAAATTTGCGAACCGCTGTGACGGGAATCCCAATGACAGAGTGACAAAGGGATCCCTGGAAGCGGAGGGAAAGGTTGAGGATGAGGTGGGTCCTGGAACCGTCTTTTGCCCGTAGGCGGTAACTGAGGTACCGTAGGGAGTGAGAGTGCGGGAAGGCAATGTCGGTGGGCGGAATCAGACACCATCCGAGGAGCGTGGGCCCGACAAAGCGACGCCTGTTGTAGAGATGGAGGTGGAGGCGCGAATATGTGTCGGAAAAGAAGGTAGGATCCAGTGCGACGCGGAACACGTGGTCCCCTGTTCCTCCTCCGTCGTAGTGGTGGAGCACGTCCGCCGGGAGCTTGGTGAGAGTGATGAAGGGTCTGATGCGGTTGAAGAATGATGAGTGTTGGTTGAGACCTTCAGCGGACACCACACTGATCTCCAACGTTGTTGTCATCGTGATTACAGCTAGAGATTTCAGTTCCTTACGTTAAGATGTGAGTTTTTAGTTTAATGTTTGGTTCGAAGGAAATTTCGTGGGTGGTAGTGGTGGAATTTAAACCTCTGTGGAGCCTCACTCTGAAGTGGTAGCAGTAGAAACAAACAAGACTCGTGGAAAATTTTAATTTCCCGCTTTCACAAGTCAACAAAAGGGTCTTTGTGCTTATGCTTATTATTGGTTTAGCACAAAACAAAATAAATATTCAACTTCATTTTTTTAATCGCGTATTATAAAATAATATATATAAAAAACTTAAATATATTTTTTAGTCTTTACAAAATTGAAATCTTTTATTCATAGTAAAGGTGTATTTTTCACTTGCCGTTGAGTTGAAAACAAAAATCATCATAAGCATTTTTCCCTTGCATATATACCACAACATTAACGTGAATAACAAAATTCGACTTTCAAAGAAGATTATTTTCCAAAGGTGAAACTTAATCTTTTTAATTACCTTTTTTCAAAACAATAATTAAATATTACAAGCCATAAAGGAATGTAAAGTTTACAGATATCTCCTTCACGCATTTTTATTCTTTATATTAAATTTATCAAATGTTAAAACTAAATAGTACTTATCTCATGCAGTTTTGAGAAATCTCTGTCTTTTCTTTGTCATTAACTCTAAATTATTGGTTTAACTACGCTTTTTAAGATGTGTTTGGCACAATTTTTAATTTAAAATTATCTTAAAATTATAATTTTAAATAAAGGTTAATGAAATAAAATAATTTATATGATGGATTTTTATAATTAAAAAGACAAACAGAGCCAAAATAATCTAAACTACCTCTGAAAAAGTAACTATTTTGAAAATAATCATTTTTATTGTTTTCAACAAAATTAAAGCTGTTTAGTTTTCTTAGAAAATATATAATCTAAAATATATAAACCTCGAACATATTGTTTCAGATAATTGACAAATAACCTTTATTTTAATCTTTGATTTTTGAGCCACTTAAGTGAATTTTAAGAAAAACAGTAAAATAAAATACTATAAAACAATTATTAAAGTTTAAAAAGTTTTAAGAAAATAATGTAAAACTTATTTCTCATCCACAATATATATATATATATATATATATATATATATATATATATATAAATTCTATATCACATCTAATTTATACAAATTTAAAAGATAAAAATTTAAGAGGAGGATAATTACTGAAAGTTTGTTCTAGGAATCATGCAAATGTTTCTCCCTTTTAATTAAAAATCTTTAGACATAGAAATGTATGACCGTTTGAATAGATTTCAAGAAAGCATGAACATGTTACATCGAAGCCTCAAAGTCACCTTACTCATTAAAGGTTAAAATGAATGAACCAAAGGAAGATACAAAATATAAGGAATATTGCACCACATACACAATAGTTGATCTCAATCCTTGAGATGAATTCAATGAAGATAGACCGACTTTCAATGAGCAATTGATCGAAGTCCAAATAGGAACAAGTAATCATAATCGGATAAACAGTACAAGCAAATCAACTTAAACTTACTAATATACTAAAAGTAAATATTGATCTTTTTGCATAAAGCCCTTCGAATATGCCTGATATTGATCCAAATTTAATTTGTCATAAGTTAGCATGTTTCACCCACATAAAGCCTGTAACCTAGAGGAAGAGAAGGCTAGGAGGAGACAGAAGTGTAGTCGTCTAGCAAGAAATTGAGAATCTCTTACAAGCTCAGTTCATCAGAGAGATACCTCATACAACCTGACTAACAAATGTGGTTATGGTGAGGAAATCCAATGGGAAGTGGCGAATGTGCACAAATTACACATATTTGAACAGAGCATGTCTTAAAGACTCATATTCCCTGTTGAATATAGATTGGTTGATTGACAACACATTGGGTTATCAACTGCATAGTTTCCTAGATGCATATTCGAGATATAATCAGATTGTAATGTTCTCACAAGATGAAGAGAAAACGACCTCCATGATGGATGGAGCTAATTATTGTTACCGAGTTATGCCCTTTGGCTTAAAAATTGCAGATGTGACATATTAACGTTTGATGGACATGGTCTTCAAGACCCTCATTAGTCACTGTATGGAAGTCTATGTGGATGATATGTGGTCAAGTCCACTAGTGTCGTTGATCATCTCCTACATTTAGAACAAGTTTTTCAAAAATAAGATGACACAATATGAGATTGAATCCTGTAAAATGCGTCTTTGGTGTTGGAGGCAGCAAACTCGTAGGGTTTATAATTACCCAAAAGGGCATTGAAGCAAACCCAGATAGATGAAAAACTCTCATATCAACAATTAGTCCAAGGAATGTTAAAGATGTCCAACACTTAAATGGTCGACTAACTAGCCCGATTTCTGCCTAAATTGGTTGAGAAGAGTAAACCATTTTGTAAGCTACTTTGTTCTGCAGAAAATTTTGAATGGACGTCGAAATGTGAAACCATGTTCTGTCGTATCAAGGAAGATTTAGCCTAGTTACATATTCTCGTTAGTCTACAAGAAGGAGCCACTTTATGTTATACTTGGTCGTAACTAAATTGGCTATCAGCTCCGTCCTCGTAGTAGAAAGGAAAAAAACTCAACATCCCATTTACTTCACCAGGAGGAAGCCATCTGAAAAAAGGTATCAGACCATTGAAAAATTGGTATTAGCTCTCGTCCACTCCGCCCACTGACTACGATCCTACTTTCAGGGATTTCCCATCGTATTAAAAACCATCTACCCGATCAAACAAATATTACAGCGATCCAAACTTGTGGGGTGTATGATCAAATGGTCTATTTAACTATCCGAGTTTTGACTCACATATGAAAGTAGGGGACTAATGAAAACTCAATTCTTTGCGGACTTCTTGGTCGAATTACCATCAATAAGAGAGCAACACAAGGTTTGGAATCTCAGTATTGATGGCTCTTCCAACAAAAAGAGGAGTGAAGCGAGAATAATCTTGGAAGGATCTAATGATGTAGTCATCGAACAAGCGATAAAATTTGATTTTGAGGCTTTGAACAACCAAACCGAGTACGAAGCATTACTAACCGAGTTATCTTTAGCAAAAGAGATGGGAGTCAAACAACTCTAGTGTCGAAGTGATTCTCAACTCGTAACCGACCCAAATAAATGACGAATATCAGGCCAAAGAACATATCCTACAGAAATACCTCCCATAGAAATATCATTATATCGCCAAAAATGTCATAAGGATATTTGATAAATTCGTTGTACAACATGTACCACGAGAACAAAATGGTAGAGCTGACATCTTATCAAAATTGGTCAGTACCAAGAAATCGGGACAACACGAGACTCTCCTTCTAGAAATATTATCAAGTCCGAGTTGAGATAAGGATGAAATCTTCCAGGTCAACACCGAACAACCCACGTGGAAGACTCCCATAAGAAAGTACGTAGTCCACAATATACTACCAGATAACCCGAAAAAAGCGAAAAAAAAAATCAGAAGAATAGTCTCTCTATATACCATGTATGACGGAGACCTTTATAAAGGGGTATATTCACTCCTCTTCTGACATGCCTAGACAACGAACAAGCTCACTATGTCATAGTCGAGCTTCATGACGGAATTTGTGACTTTCACTCGAGTGTAAAAAATATGGCAGTACGAATAGTTTGAGCTAGGTATTACTGGCCCACAATGAGACAAGGTGCCAAGAACTTTGTAAAGAAGTGTAAACAATGTCAACAATTCACTCCATGACCCTTTATCATTTGGGAAATGGACATAATCAGCCTCTTCCATATTACTCAAGCACAGATGAAGTTTTTCATAATAGTCATAGACTACTTCATCAAATGGATAGAAGCAGAACCTATGACCACCTTAAGAGCACAACAAGTACAAAAATTTGTCTAGAAAGTTATTATTTGCTGACATGGTCTTCCACAAGCACTTATTACTGATAATGAAAGACAGTTTGTAGATAAAAACTTAGAGTAATTCTTCAACCAACTTGGCATACAACACCAAGTATCATCCGTCGAACACCCTCAGTCCAATGGATAGGTTGAGGTTTCTAATAAAGTCATTCTCTGAGAATTAAAAGTTGAGTAATGCCAAAAGACTATGGATCGAGGAAATACCAGAGATATTATAGGGATATCACTATACACCTTAGTTATCTACAAGGGAAACCTCATTCAAGCTAACATATGGAAACGATGTCATGATCCCTGTGGAGTTAGGGGGAAAATCATGATGACGACAACAATTTAATAAACAAAAGAACCAAGACAACTTATGTATTGAGTTGAACTTGATTGGCGAGTTAAGGGTTTCAACTCACGTTCGAGAGGAATTCAAAAAATAGTTCGACACCACAACTCTAGGGTAAAAAAAAGAAACTTTCAAAAAGGAGATTTAGTATGGAGAAAGGTCGGAGAAGCCCGGAAAGCACATGGAGATGGAAAGTTAGCTCCTAATTGGGATGGGTCATTTCACATCACCGACTCACTACACAACGCCGCATATAAATTACAAGAGTTAAATGGAAGGCTTGTTCTACGAACTTGGAATGCAACATATCTAAAGTCGTATTACAGTTAGTTACAAGCTTACTCAGGTGTACGAGTATAGACGCATTACACAATATGAATGTCTCACACCCTACTCGAGGAGACGAGTATAAATGTATCACACTTCACTCCTAATATGAGTTTTACATGTATTACACCTTACTCGGGGATACGAATATAAATAAATCATGTCTTACTCAGGGTTACGAGTATGCCTTACTCGGGGTTACAAATATAACATCTCCTCAAAAACATGATATAAAAAACGTTTTTATAATACGTGTATCGTACTCAGGAAAACACATTTACTATGTCTTATTTGAGGTTACAAGTTACTCGAGATTACAAATATAACAACTAATTAAAAACACGAGTATAAAAAACATTTTGATAATATGCATATCGTACTCACGAAAATGAGTATAAAACTTATG